GAATCATGATTTATATTTGTTTTATATTTGTTTCAAAACTTTCACATATAGAATACAGCAATGATATGATTAAAAAACGACATATTAAAGGGGCACGTATATGGTAGTAGTATGTGAAGGAGGGTTATTTAAAACCAGTTATTGTATGAATACTAAAGCATGATTGTGATGTCATTTGTAATTGTCAAATGCTACCCGACGTGACATCTCATCGATGGAGCCGGTGTAGCTAGGAGATAGATTAGGTGCAAGGGAATGCATACAAAGCCGTACATTGCCGGGTCATTGTTATATTATGTGTATATATTATACTTTGATTTCTCTAAGGCTTTTGATAGTGTACCACACCACCGTTTATTAGTTAAATTAAGAAATATTGGTGTTCCTGAAGATATTATTGGTATTTTAGAAAACTTTTTAGTAGGGAGGTCTATGAAAGTTAAAGTAGGAGATGCATTTTCTGAGATTAAATATATACTTTCAGGAGTGCCCCAAGGCAGTGTTTTGGGACCATTGCTCTTTCTTTTATTTGTAAATGATCTTCCAGAAGGGATCAAAGCTATCATCAAACTTTTTGCTGATGATGTTAAAATGATTGTTAATCCTTTTATTAATCTAACAGCTGATTTGAAGTTGCTAGAACTTTGGGAGTCTCGTTGGTGTTTAAATTTTAATGTAGATAAGTGTATGGTCATGCAAATTGGTTCTTGTAATCCTAAGAATCAGTACTTGTTTGGTGGTTTGCCTTTGAGATGTGTTGAAAGCGAGAAGGACCTTGGAGTGGTCTTTAACACCAGTTTCAACTTTGAGGATCATGTGAGAAAGTGCATTGCTAAAGCTAATGGTACCATTGCCTGGCTTACAAGAAATATTATATCGAGGGAAACAAGCGTTATGCTGGGCTTGTATAAGTCTTTAGTAAAGCCTCATATAGAGTATTGTTCACAGGCATGGGCTCCGATGGCTAGGCATGGAAACTGGTCACTGATTCTTGAATTGGAAGGTGTCCAGAGATCGTTCACCCGTATGATTGATGGATTGGGACTCATGACTTACAGAGAGAGACTGGATAAGCTGAACCTCACCACCCTGCTTGAACGCAGGGTTCGTGGAGATCTCATTGAGATGTTCAAGATCCAGGAAGGCTTTGTGGGTTATGGTTCCGATTTATTTGGTCGTTCTGGTAGGACTGTTGCTGCTAGATCAAAGACTCATAGATTCACCACAAATGAGACTGATTTCTTTGCCCAAAGGGTCTTGCGCTATTGGAACAGTCTACCACCACTTGTGAAAGCTAGTGAGTCGGTTACTGGTTTCAAGAGGGGATTAGATGCCTTTCGGCTTCATGGATATCGAGCTAATAAGCTTGGTCATCACTGGGAACTTTCATATGATATATTTGATAGAATTGATGTTACTGTAGCTCACAGGAGTAATTATGTAAATTATATGAAAGATAATCCAATAATAGCTAAGAGGAAGAAGGTCAATTTAAAAGGCCTTACTTAGGCACTTATCAGCCAAGTTTTCAGTTAACTTCTTTCAATTTTTATATTTTAATAGTTTATTAAACGTAAATTGTACAGTTTTGAAGTAATTATATTTGTATATGATTATTATTATTAAATCTAAAATAGCTAATAATTTATTAAATTATTAACAGGCCCCTTAACGTGGGCAATAATATACGCTTTTTAAATTATATAAACAAATTGAAGTCTATTTTTCCAATGTTGTTAAGTGTCTCTTTAGATCTGTTTTGGTCTTTTCGTGGGAGTTCCCACATTTGTTGGTTGAGAATGCTCAACATAACATACATGATGCTTGACTGCTTTATTGACCCGGACAGGCACCGGGGGCAGACATCCCAACACCAGTGCGTTGGGACATAGTGTTGGTCTGCTTCAGGACGTGTTAGATCCTAGAGAAGCCGCCATCCCCTCTACTGCTTTAGCTCAGCGGCAGCATGAGCCCTGGTTTCCTGCCACATTGGTACCTCTGAAAGTACAGAAAAGTGGTGGATTTCGGGGTCCAGGATTGTATATGAGATGCCCAGAGAGGCATAAATTTAAATCTTATCTTATCTTATCTTATATTGTTTGAGTTTTTTGCCTATAAAGCCGTACAAGGTTGTAAGAGCTTTGAGAACAATCGATATCATATTATGGCACTAGCTATAATGAAACTGCGGTTTTCTGCTCACAACTTGAAGATGAAATTCCCTTTCGGTATACAGTATATAGTACCAGTGTATGGTACAGTATAGCACAGTATATAGTACAGTATACAGTATATAGTACATCTTCATTGCAGTGTACTGTAAACAAAGAACTGTACTATGCAAAATGAAATAGTATGATAAAACCTCAGGACAATACCATTAACACCCAGGAAACTATCAAATATTGGTACAGTGTGCATCAATTACGAGCACCATATAATTAATGGTACACCAGTACCCATCTTTAATCAGATGCCTCTGTTCTGGATAGCATGACCTGATGTGTAACGGCCTACATCTATGGTAGGTCTCTCTGGACACTAAAAATTTCGTGTAATCGTTCGCATTTCGTGTGGTAGTCACCACATGCATGCTTCTACCTATGGTCATTGTCAATTTTGCTTTGCCCATTTTGCTTACTTTTTGATTTAAATTTTTGAGCAGGTTGATAAAGAGCAATTTAATCCTTTCTGATATCATTTTCATCTGAAGATTCCGAATTTTCTGAATTCTTTGGAATGAAGTTTCTATCTCATGTGGAGCAAAAGTTATGACCTGGTTTTCGATGTGGAGCAAAAAAGTGTGGAGCACCCCAATAAAATCTATGCTTTTTGACTATTTTGATCGCCATTTAACAAATAGATCCTGGACGTTAATTGCAAAATATTTTCACTGCCAAATCATAAAATGGACCTCAGCCAGTGTGGAGCAGTCGAAATATCCTCATATTTTTCGTCTCAACCAGGGGTAAACATTACAGTAGAATCTCCGTCTTTTCACAAAATCTTAGTTTAAAGGAATACGCACCAGATAACATTATCAATAATGGTACACCTTGCTCAACCGATGCGGAGCACGAAACTATTATACCTAAGTTGGGAATACTGATTGGGAAGAAACTGAGTTTTGAAAGTGAGTGTGATTAAAAACGATAAATACATCTAATCAGGCCATAAAAATATCATTTTTTCTTGTGATTATGTTCAGACCCCCTGACTCTATTCTTTGGAACTGCTGATAAACCTAGTAATGCTCAACCATGTGGAGCAGAGGACTTTTACTGCATAACATGACTCCTCATCGGCTGATATGACTTGGATGAGAAATTAGAATGAGTATTTTAGCTTTTACAATAAATTACTAGCAGAACAGATTGAAAAATTGTATTTAATAGGCTCAACCAGAGAGGAGCAGAATGGAATGATAGATTGATAACACAACTATTTGTAAGGATCAGTGTTGTTATATTAGGATAAATGAGGAATTATATCATCAATACTTAAGAAGCTGTTGATGTATGTAGTACTGTGTCCTTTAAAGAGAAATATGCCACCGCCCACCATAGAAAAAGACAATATGCTCAACCGTGAGGAGCAACAGGCTTTTCTACGGTAAAAAGAGTCTCCATGATGGTCGATCTGTAGCCAATTTGTACGTAATGCAATTTAAAGTTTACTGATATACTTTAAATACTTTTCTTACCATGATTGGGCCATGATTGATGTTCCAGAACTGTTCAGCCAGAGTGGAGCAGAGCTAGAAATGACATGTCATGTACGGGATTCCTCAACTGCCTAACATTTTATGAAGATCTCTCTTGCATGCAGTTGTAGAATGAAGTAGTGAGCTTCGAAAATCTAATACAACAGAAATCATCTCTGCTCCACACAGGTTGAGCACTGAATAGTTCCCGTGAAGTAAGTTTATTGACCACCAATATTATAACATATTTTCTCTAGAATGAATAAAAATAATATCCCATGAAGCACTTAAAAGTTGTATCGATTGATCAAAAGGAAGACCTCTTTTTGCTCCACATGGTTGAGATAGGCTGTTCTCGACTAAAGAGTCTGCATCAACGGTGAAAATATAGATACAGGAGTCAAGATGTAAATCACAGAAGTCACTTTATCTCAACCCAGAAAGAATTTAAAAGTTGGCAAATTTTTAACCATTTTGGGCTCCACAGGGTTGAGAGAAGTGTACTGAATATAAATATCCGTTTCAGTACTCAAAATAGAGTTAGTAAGAGTTACCAAGCTAAAAAAATCTTACAGATCTAAACAAAAGCATTATGAAAAGCTAATAAATTAAAAATTTACAAATTTCTACATTGCCAAAACCTCGCTCCACGTCGGTTGAGATATGGTGTGTTATCGCAAATAGTCAAAAACTCTTGAGAGGGGTTTCAGCTAAAAAGTTCATAGAGTTTCAACCAAAAACTTGACTGTTTAGCGTATGATTTTTGGTCTTGAAAATTGCCTAACTTTCAAGCTACTGCTCCACACAGGCTGAGCATTAAAAGTTGTCTCAACCGGTGCTTTCTGTGTAGATGGGACCTTTTTCTGAGAGTCTCAACCTGTTTTGACTGCCAGATTCAGTTACCAACGAGATTGCAAAAAGTTTTAAAATGTCACTTTGAAGCACTGATATGCTCCACATTGGCTGAGTAACACATATAGATTACATGTTAAAGTGTCCAGTGAACATTTGTTTCCATCTGGGTGAAATATTAACAAAGGGTGAACACCAGGTGGCATGCTAGCTCACTAAATAGCTCAACCGGTCAAATTGTACCAATTTTGGCAGTCAAATTTGGGCAAAGCAAACTTTACAATGACCCTATGCAAAAATGCTTATGATGTTTGTAAGCTCACTGAGGCTGTCCAGCTTCTGTTTACAGTTTTCTAGAGGATTATAAGCAGGAGGGACTTTTCGAATCAAATACTATCGACTGTTGAGTGTTCTGCTCTAAGTTTAACCATAACTTCATCAATAGGTTACATGTCTTCAGAACCTGAACCCTCCTCCCGAGGAGAGCCAGCAGTCAGAAGTCAGATTGTTGATCCCCGCAGTACCAATGCAGCCTCAGCCTCATCATCGTCCAGACCTGCAGGAGGAGACAATGCAGATCCCACTCAACTGATGTGCAGACGATACATGATTGGAAAATGCAAGAAGGCAAGAAAGTGTCCTTTCTCTCACAGTATGGATCATCTACCTACAACTTTCTGCAAGGACTACATTTTCAGTGAGTGTGGCTTAAATCTGTTTTTGAGTAGTTTTTATCTTATCGTATCATTTTTGTAATGTGTATTAATTTACTGTGCTCCTATCCTGTTTTATTACTGATAAATGTTGGAGAGTTCGATAAATCAATAAACCTTTCAGAGTATTGCAAGTATGGGTCAAGATGTACAAAGCGTCATCTGAATCCTAAAGAAGAAAACCGTAGGGAAGTCTTACGTAAAAAATACTCAAAAAAGAAGAGGATGACCTGGCATGATGCCAATGAGTTTGAACCAGGAATGCCAAATCACCTCGATCGTCAACCTTTACCTCCTGGAGTTTGGTCAGTATGAACTCTTATTATAATTGGTGTAATTATATTCTTATTAATAGACGTAAAAATCTTACTTTCAGTAAATTTGTAAGATTATTATTAATTGCTTTGCTGTACACACTAAACATGCAACTCTTTTCCCCCAGCTCCCTTGAAGAACTAAAAGACGAACCACTTTGCCAACATGCAATAGAAGGGAACTGCACAAACACAGACTGTGTATTCTTACACGGATTCCAATGTGATCACTGCAAGAAACCGGTTATACATCCCTTTGATAGGATCCAAGGTCGAACTCACGTGGAACTTTGTTCCAGAACTGCTGGGGTAAGTTAAACAATTAGCCCGTTTTTTATTGTTTATTACTACTTTTACTAAACAGCGTAAGAAATGGTTGTTAATTCTTAGTCAAATTCTTAGTTAAATATGTTACATGGCACAGTGTGCAATAAGCAGGTCGAATTTATTTTTAGCATAGCTAAAAGCTTGAGCAATTATATGTAATAATTAATCCACAGTCTACACATAACTGTTCTAAAAATGCATTCCACAGATGCTGAAAAACTATCTTCAACTCATCAAAGACTCAGAGAACGAAGAGTGTGGGATATGTTACGACAAAGTTCTGTCAGCTGACAAGAAAGAAGAGGACAGGAAGTTTGGCCTGCTGCCAGGTTGCATGCACAAGTTCTGTCTGTGTTGTATAAGGAGATGGAGGAATTGCAGTGAAGGCGCTGTGTCTCAAGAAAACAGGTAATTTAACTGGCATTTTGTTTTGAGAACTGTCAAGTGAATGTTTCTGCAAGGAAAATGTGCACTGAAAGTGTACTGAGTACTTTAACAATTAACACTTCAATTTCCACCGTGTCGGTCTAACTGACTTGAGTTGGAGAAGTATATTTTGACTCAATTGGTTCGTGTACACATGGAGAAAAGTTTGTTTTTTCAAGGTAATTTGTCCTTTTCTAGTGGTAGTTATGTAAATTTTGCATTATTACTTGTGTGCAATATTGAGATGGAAGACGATTCAGATATTACTCTATCAGTGTGTTGAGTGAGTGTCAAAAATGTGCAAGATGTTCCGCAGTATAATCACTAGCAAACACTTAAAGATTGTATAGATATATTTTGTAAGCAATGTGTCACCTTCCGTAAGCAACCGGCAGCATTTTCAAATCTGATGCATTGCCCTCCTATACTGCAAAAGTATGTGTTTCCTCTCCATTTTGAGACGTACAATTTTCACCGACACAATTATCATATGAAATAGAATGAAACAGGGTACTTCTCTCCCGCTCATACCAATAGTAAATACTGAGAAATATAAAATGATAATGTCGGCGCATCTTTCCGAGAAAAAAAAAGAAGTATCAAAAACTAAACGATCTATCTTGGTTAGCATTTAAACCCTTGGGATTGTATAACCCTTGGGGTACATCTTTTCCGTTTAAACTGAACCAGATTCCCGGAATTCCTCAGCACTTCTAGAAAACTTAACTAACATCACGTCATCTCCCCAGACGAAGTTGCCCTAACTGCCGACAGAAAAGCTACTTCGTAGTTCCCTCACAAGTCTGGATCGCTGAGGGAAACCACAAGAAGATCTACATAGAAGAGTATAAAAAAGACCTGAAGAGGAAACCGTGCAAGTATTACCGTCACCAGGGAGACTGTCCCTTCTCCAGCAACTGTTTTTACTCCCACGAGCATATTGATGGTCAGGTGAGATATTTATTGTGCGTTTCTTAGTACATTCCGCGCACGATGATAAGCTGGACCGTAAAATATAGCTTATTTAGTTTAAACGGTCGGATTTGAAAATCATCGTCTTATTTTGTTCTTGTGTCTAGGTTTTGTGACATGATAAAGACAAGGGAAGTTTTATATTTAGTGAAGAGTATATTTGTTGAAAGAAGAGTTTGAAAATGTAGGGACCAGCTCTGGGTTTTTTGTGCACGTGGGGTGCATCATGTACAGTTAGCTGAATTTTGGTCACGTCCGTATGACTTAAAACTCAATAAATTATCACTGTTTTACTAAATTTGAATAGTACTAAGCCCTCTTAGCTTTTTTACATATTGGAATCATGTTTCACTAAATATACAGAGAAGCTAAATTGAACTGTTATGTAAATCAGTAAATCTCAAAATACGCGATAAAACAGTAAACTTAACAGACTTGCTCGTGGGTTAACTCGAAATCAAGTTTCACAAAAAATCAGGATGAACTCCCTTCTGCTCAAACGAGTTGAGAAGTGTTAATAATAAGGTGTGTGAAACTAGTTAACTGTGTAACTGGTTATTATATGTTGTGTTAGTTATAGTAGTGGGAGTGTAACATGTAACATGTATAATGTATGTTAGTAGTGGGATTGTAACATGTAATGATGTAACATGTAATATGTAAGGATGTAAATTGTAAGTAGCATAGTGTGAGTGTATACTGTAAGTAGTATAGTGTGAGTGTATACTGTAATTAGTAACATGTCTCTGATTGCAGGGTGAAGTTTACACTCCACGAGGGGACAGAAGCGAAGACACGCTCCAGTTAGATAACATCGTACTGGACGAAGATAGAGCCCAAGATACTATCAGTGCTCGGATTATCCAGGTTTTTATTTCCATCAATCACTGAGGTTATCCGCTGTGGAATATATATATTTGAGCTGAATGGGAATTTTGGATCCCATGCAGCTGCCTAATAGAACGGTAATGGAATGAATTTTAGGAATTTTAATAATTTACATAACATCAGTGAGTGCTTTTAAAAAATCTGAATCTTTGCAGGTTAGAGAGACGCTGAATGCTCTCAGAGTATCGCACAGAATGACAGAGGCCGGAGATTCTCTATCTAATCTTATGCGAGAGGTAATTTGAGATATATCAGAAATAAAACGTTGACTGGATTACATGACTGGGTCCCTTTTACTGCACTTGGAGCAGCCTTTAAAGAGCAGCACAATATAATGACGCCTTTTTTCCATTCACATAACAATTTATGTTTCAGCTCCCCGAAATCAGAATAATTTAAAAGTTAAAATTTTAAAGAATATTTCAAGTTTCTTCTAGGATGCTTTTCAATGATTTTGTTTAAAATAACAGCTGTGTTTCTCAGATCGACCAGCTCCACGACTCACTACGACTGATGGGGCTCACTCAGAACAACGACAACACCCGGCAATAGTTAATAATAGCATGTAATTTGAAAGAAGCCCCGAACATTGGGAACAGATAATGTGATGTGATCTCGGCAGATCACGTCACGTTTTCTTGCTCCACTGGGAATGAAACATTATGAAATTATAAAGGACAATGTACCGTATCGACTGATAATCGCGATAACCTTGATAATATATATCATTACAAGTTTAGAGGACGCAATCCCTCCACTTGTACAATGTGCAATGTGCATTGTGCACCAAGACCCTTTCGAGGGTAAGATAAGGTTTTAGTAAAAGAGCTCTTGAGTGTACTAGGTAAGTTGTGGGATGAGGGTCTGAGCTTTATAGTTTCAGTTCTAAGTCATGAGATAAGATAAGATGATTGACTTACAGTTCTGTGTGCGTTATTCCACGTTTAAATAATATATGATGCAATGTGGCCTTAAAAATAGGGCCACATTTTCATCGGTTAAATAGTTAAATTGATATGTCCTCTTTAAGATAAAAATATATCTTAAACCCTGAGATAATTGATGCATTAATTGAGTGTGTGCCCTTGAGACTTAACAATTTTATTTTCTGGCCTATACTGATACTGCTATAGAACTTGGGGAGGAATTGTTTTCCGAAACTTAGTGGTATTATAGCAATCATAAGACCGTTATATAATGAGATATTAGCTTCGGCTAATTTCATTTACATCGGAACTCACAACTGTACGTGACTAGCAACCCACTTGTACCCCTTAGGCCTCTACATTTAATTGGTCACGTACTGTTTACGAGGTCTAAACCGTTATTCTGCGCAGGTTCCTGTCTAGACCTGACAATTTGCACATTAATTATGAGGTAAGTTAAATAACTAGAGCCCTCAGGGCCTTATAAAAAGTAACAGTAAACTTTTTTGGAAAATTTCCAAATTCAAATGAAAGGCAATGTTATGTAAAGTTAATTACATACTAGGGCTCAGAGGTAGGCCAAACGTTTTCCCGATGAGTATAAAGCAAAAGATTTTTGAAATAAACACTTAGAAAGGAATTGTTCTATCGTAATAATGATTCGAGTTAAAGATAAATATAGCGTTATAACAGACTAATGACTATGTGCGTGCATTGTGCAATTCTACTATCAGAATAATGGATAGGTATGTTTGTAATTTCTGATGCCATATGCTCGTGTTGTTGACTTAGTGTATAGTTATAGAGATTTAAGGAAGTTTTAAGCTTTGTAATTTCAATATAATAATACCGGTATATATATAATGATATAGTTGTTTGGGATCATTGTTTTATATAAATCTACTTATTATGTATTTGAAATGTGTGTGCTGCTCATGCAAATTTGTCGGCTTTTTTCAGTGTAAGATGACAGTCAAGTTTTACTTATCTATTTAGCATTTCCACTCTGTTTTACACTTCCACATTTGGTAGATTATTCCACATATTCACTGCTTAAATAAGTAGAGACTTTTTGAGACCTTTATCTAGCACTTCACAAGCTCATGGAAACAGCGCATTATATGTGCATTATGCGCATATGCATTATGTGCATTATGCGCACCTCTCATTATCATCAGGATATAACTTAAACGTCATGATATCCCAAGAACTATTCTACAACAACCTCGTAAGATACCACATCCACTCATCAAAGTGTATTGTAACAGATATGAGCTAGAATTTTCTTATCTAAATTTGGGGTACAAAAGTGATGCGTTTTTTGTGATTGGTTGAATCAATATTTAAAAAACACCTCTGGTGAGGTGTTGGTTTATTTTCAAACATACAATTTTTTTTCCAGGTTAAAGTTCATGTTAACGTTCATTCAAATTTTTCATTTAAGTTTAAACTTTTATCTGATAAGTGATACATTTTCCCGAAAATTTCTTACCATTGCTGCATAATATTGGTTATTTTGTAGTTATGGGTTCGGTTATAAAGCACTTGCATAATATACGATATCGATATTGTTTATTATAATTGTAAATTTTTAGTTAAATTGTTACCTTTTACACGAAGCTGTGGCAGCCAACATTTTTGACTCACATTGGTGCTTGATTAATGAATAATTTGAATGATAATGATACGATACCATTGCAGCCGCAGCAGTATGTATAAGGTCAAATTTCCAATTTGTTAAACATAATTACAATTGTATGCGTTTTACTTAGCGTCATTAATCATCATTGTCTATCACTGTGCTCGTGACCTTTTGAATCAAGACGTAAACGAAAATTATTCCTGTAACTCTAGAAGGTTCGATTTCATTCTGTGAGCTGTACTCAATTGTAAACGTTACATCGTCGTTAATTTTCTTGCGATAACATTAATTTTGTTAATTAAACTAGTGAACTTATTATTTTGTTAATTAAACTACCTATTAGGTAGTGATGGACGACTTGAGAGAGCCATGGTACGTAACACGTTAAACTAGAGACTGGTAGTAGATAAAGCTATCAGGAGTACAATCGAGTGATGACACGAATTCTCAATTTCTATACCTACCATTCTTCTATTTACACTCCTAACTATAGACTAATTTCTAATAATATAGTTTAATAGAATAGAATAACTGTACACTTAATAGCTAACATTTTGATAATATTTCAGTCCATACAGAATCACAGATGATTGCGGAGGTGCCTTTACGATGGGTTGCCTGGGTGGTGCAGTTTTCTCTGCCATCAAAGGGTTCAGATTAGCTCCTCCTGTAAGTTGATATGCCTCCAAACATTATCAGTTCTTATCATCGACAATATTAGGGGCGCAGTCTCATACGTATTTTGTTTTTTACAGAAAAAAGTTCATCTTTAATTTAGGCGAAATAAATTCATGACATAATTCTCAAAATATTTATTTCATTCGATTAATGCTTCAGGGAATCAAATCGAGGTTAACTGGAATGACGACATCTGTGAAGGTGAAAGCCCCTGTGCTTGGAGGTTTGTAATATAATTGGTTGATAACAAAAAAATATTACTATTCAGCACTGCCACTAAAATTAGCATAAAACGCTTTATTTTGATTTGCGTTTGCGTAACCCGCATTGCTTGTCTGTTAAGTAAATATGAAGGGAGCTCGCACTTAAAACTCGCGTTGATCTAAGCTAAGCTATATAGCGCAGCTGCGCGCGCGGCTTACTATTCTATTCTAGCTAAACAACATACAGGGTGTACCGTAGAAAATGTGACTTTTTTCCACTTCTGTAATTTTTTACAAAATCAAACTTCATAGTTATTTTTAACTAAATTTTGTTGGAAATATATTTGAATTAATGATAGTAATAAAAAAAATTGTTAATAATTAAGAATTTGCTCAAAATATCCACCCTTCTTGGCAAGTACGTATTGCAGTCGACTATTTAAATTGTTTATTGCCGAACTAATTTGAATTTTTCCAATCTTCCGGCACTCCCTCCTGATGTTCTGTTTGAGTTCCTCCACTGTTTTTGGGTAAGGGTTGGTGTAAACCTTTGATTTTAAATACCCCCAGAAATAAAAATCGAGAGGATTCAGATCTGGGCTATATTGGGGGCCATAGGAATTTCGAGTTCCTGGAGATTAGCCTCTCCTCACCAAACCTCTCTGTCAGCCAGTCAATGGCGACCCGACTGCAATGAGGCGGTGCCCCATCTTGTTGGAAAGTACATTTTTTTAAGTTGCCCTTCCTTTTCAGAGCTGGTATAACCTTTCCTTTGATCAACTTTATATAATTATCTGTTTTTATTGTCTCCGCTACCCCCTCCTTGTCCTCAAAGAAATAAGGACCGATTAAACCAGCATCTTGGCCAAGTGCAACAAAAACAGTAACTCTAGCCCTTGTTTTTGGAGCTTCCACCGAGTCATGTGGGTTTTCACTGCCCCAAAATCGCATATTCTGGCGATTAACATACCCTGATAAGTGAAAGTGGGCTTCGTCCGAAAATAATATGTGCTGTAGAAAATTTTTGTCGGACTCAATCCGATCAGACATGAAATTTGCGAAATCCACACGTTTTTCCTTGGTTACTGGGGTCTGTTTTTCCCTAAGTTGGATCTTGTAAGGAAATTTCTTCAGTTCTGTTCGTAGCATCCTCCACGTTGAAGTCTTAGATATCCCAAGCTCCCTTGACAAGCTTCTGACCGACCTTCGTGGACTGAGTTCGAGCTTCTTCTTGATTCTGTCAAGATTCTTAATTGAAATGACACTTCGGGATCGCCCAGGCGGAGAGATCTTCTTCAGTGTGTAGTTGGTCTGGAGTTGGTTCACAACCCTCTTTATCTGCTCGTTCGACAGCGTAGGGACCACAGTGGACCACTTTGACCCACGGGATAAAAGTAAACGTCTCACACGAGCAGGGCTTCGGCCATTTTCAAAATATGCCTCTATTATGGCCATTTTCAGCTCTATAGGTAGCACCATTACGAAACGAAGAGTTGAAAAAAATCAAGAAATAACAGAGACTTGATACTTGGTATACACCAATTCGATACATATTGACACAGTGTGATGAAGAGTTTTTAGCAACTGCTCCTTCATAAAAATTTTTATTTTTGTTCAAAATAGTCACACTTTCTACGGTACACCCTGTATATAACGTCATGTCATGTGACCATGAATTTACTTTTATCAATTTTCTAAATCCTGACCATTGTATTTTCAGGAAACTTCGGAACATGGGGCCTCACGTTTGCGGCTTGTGATTGTACTCTGATTTATCTTCGAAACAAGGAAGACCATTGGAATTCGATAACTGCTGGTGCTGCTACTGGCGGACTTTTGTCCATACGAAGTAAGAGAGCCTTCTTTAATTTATCTTAAATACATCCTTGTGTCTGTCCGCCTGTTAAGCTCCTGTCCATTCTCTATGTAATTGTCTGTTTTAAACGACGAGATCTCAGGCCGAGTGCGATTGGCACTCTTACACTGTACACACTACGCAGTGGAATGCAATTAGTGAGTGGGAAACAATTTTCCATACCTCTTAATCAAAAACTGTTTCTATTCCAGGTGGTCCACAAGCAGCAGTTACATCGGCTATAATTGGGGGTGTTTTGTTAGCCATGATTGAAGGTATCAGTATAGCACTGACACGCATCGGGGCTGAACAATTTAAACCAGGTGTGTATTACTTCTTTTCACTTTGATTTCGATATTAGATATTTAAACAGTGAACTAAAACTGGCATTACAATGTTTGACGAAGATAAAATTTGAAATGCACTGTACATAATATTTCAGTTATGCCAACGTTACCGGACGCTGCCTGACAAACTCTCAACATGGATGTCCATCTCTTCAACTTTGTCTCCCGTGGCCCTCTGGACGGACATTTTAGTAAATTTCATTTATTGAAGCAGGACTCTTCAAAACAACATCAGAGATGTATCGTGAAAATGAACAAAATTAAAACTGTGACTCCCGTTAAATTATTGAACAGATTGCGTTTTAATTTATAGTTTTGTACGTTTTCAAGTTAATAACATCACTGCTTGGTATAACGAAATTTCGAGTTTGACTTCAAGAATCTAATTGTTTCAAGATATCAGCTGTGATAATAAGAATGGCTGCGACCGTATTTAAAAACCAATTATAGTAAAAATGTCTCTGGAGAGGGTCCAGAAGAGCCAAAATTCGGCAAAAGTTATGTGAAAATAAGCCAGCCTAGGGGTTGGGAAAAGCTATTGTAATTTCAAAGTAAAGTGGCTCACAGGATGGGTCGGACAGGGCAAAATCTAGGTCCCTTGTGTGTTGTGGTAAATTTACCCACCATCCTGCATAAACATTCAAAGTCACTCATTTTTACTAGTCTTAATTTTAGGAAATCAATCTAGATTGTTCAAATTAAGTCACGTACCATCGTTCAATGTATGATGTAACTTTTAACGATAACAGATAAGCAAGACGTGAAAGTGAACGCGAAGGGTAGTACGTTAAATTACGTACGTGAAATGGACGGCACGTGCGCGGAAAAGTCGTGTTTTCTATGATCTTATTGCGTGGCGGCGTACGTAAACAGTGTGGCAAATTTAAAACTTGTTCCTTGGTCGGCGTAATCCACGTGTTATAACAGCTGATTTCTTGCCAATGAGAAATAAAACGAACATCTTTAAAGCAACCAGTGTTAAAACAAGAATGAGCTAAAACGCTTCAATAAATTAATGCGACCATTTTTTTGAAGAAAATGCAGCTACACTGCCGGTAAGAATGAGAAAATATTATTTTCATAACTGGAATAAGTCCTGTATTCGTTGGCCACACGTTTGGCTGACGGCAAGAATCTGTTGAAAATCTCGAGTGACTTGGGATCGAGTGAAGGTGCGAGTCTATTAGCGATATCCTCAGTTGTCTTGAGTCTCAGTAAAGTGGCAATGGCTACCTCTGACGAACTTCTGACGGCTGGTATCTTCTTTGTAGTGCTGTCGATTAGAGGGATCATGAGAGATTTCACCATATCATCTGACAGGGGCTCCACCCCAGAGATATTTATCATGTGAACCATGTTGTTGGCAAAGCTCCGCACATCGTTGCTGGAGCCGTGACCACAATTCTTGACCAGAAGGGACACCACTTTGCTCAAACACTCCACATTTTCGCCTGATCCCTGTAGATGGATAATCAAGCGTCCCGCGGCGTAGTTAGCAGAATTGCAAACTTGTACATTATCTGAATCCATGAACTTGAGGAGTGATGTCGTTAAATCTTCGATGAGGTCCATTTTGCTCATACGAGTAGGAGCGTAACGCAATAACCCGGCTATCGCTAGCGTTTGACCGTGTCTTATCTCTTTGCTGGGTCCCTGAGGAAGAATCTTATCTCTGACCAGTTTCTCAAGCTCCTCCTCTTTGAAGAACGTAGCTAGAGATCCAATACAAGCTCCATTAGCAGTTCTGATAGTATCCTCTGGAGCACCTAGATGGTTGGACAGCGTCACCGAGATAGACAGAGCTAGATTCTCACCCATGTTGGCGCCCCCAATGAACATGGTCCCCTGAAGTGCTGAAAACATTGTCTCACGAGTGCTGAGATTCTCGTTCTTGGTGCCGCTGTGAATGTCGGTAAACAAGTTGTCCACCCTGTTATGGAGGGAGACTAGTTTAGTGAGAGCTGTGACACCTTTCTCCCGCACTTCCCGTGTCCCGTCGTTCAGTGACTTCATGAAGGTCGTCTGAAGTTGAGATAAAAATGGTTTCAGGGCAACTTTCACCTTGTCGATGAGAAGGGACAGAGTGTCAAGGCAAGCAGTTTTAATGTTTGGAGTGTATCTCTCGCCCAATACTCGAATCAAAGGTCCGGTTATTTGTACAACAGATGGTTTCAGAGCTGGCTGGCTCGTGTATTGTATCGCCTCTTTGAGACCAAGTATAGCTTGCTCCTTCAGATCAGGACTACCGTTCAGAATACCCTCTCGATATAACGCAACCACAGTGGCTAGCCCTTTAGGAAGACAGAATCCAGGGAGTGTGTATGTTGGATCACGCCTGTTCTTAGGATCAATGGCTTGATAGATGCACATTTTCAAATCAGGAACTAGTCTCACTTGATCACCTGAAGCAAGTCGTTTAGTGGCGGTGTTGAACGCATTCCAGCAGTTCTTAACAACCTCTGCGCAAGGGTCACTAAACGCGGATATCAGACACTTCCACAAGACAGTGATGTGTTCTTCAATTTCAAGATACTCGTTCTTACAAAGGGTTCCAACCAAGATAGAACTGTACAGTCGCATCTTTGTCTCCTCAGACTTCAGGGTGTCTTCCAAGATATCCAGGGTATTCTCATGACCGTCTAACTCTTTGACGGAAGATATGATCAGATTAGCATGATCCAACTCCTTCTCAACCTCGCTTTCCTTAACCTCGCAGAGTCCCTCAAGTATAGCAGTAATAATGGTGTCCAGATGTTCATATAGTGCTGTTCCAGCAACTGAGGAAAGTGAAGCTAAAGCTCCGATGTTCACAGGCTTCTCGATCAGTTTGGGAACCATGTAAGGTAAAACAACCTTGCTCTTAGCCTGCATGATCTCTTGCAATGCTCCGATCAGGTACTCAGCTTCCTCACCCTCTATCGTCTCCATGGCGGCTAAGAGAGGTGACAGTATCTCGTCCAGACATTTGGTTCCCAGAACGTTGTGCAGTGCTGCAAATGTTCCAGCTGCAGCAGTTCGTACATCAGGATCAGGATCTGTGAGCGCTGATTTAATTGCTGGCAATAGCTTGTCACTGTAAATCTCAACCTGTTCTTTGGAGGTCGCAGCAATGATTTCACTAAGTCCAAGACAAACTCCCTGTCTTTGAATGACGTTGTCAGTTTCAAGTGCCATCTCTAAGATTGGTACAACTTCTGGGAGAATCCTGTCGCTCAACTTCTTGACAAGATCGCCAAGAGTTCGACTTGCAACCATCTTCTTGTCGTAGCACTCACTGGCCAGACATCCCAAGATAAGCTCGATCATCACAGGCAGAATCTCCTTCAGAGTCTTAGGAGTGTTTGTAACAACAATCTTCCATATGTGAAGACCGGCTTGTCTAACAGCCAGAGCCACATCAGATCGAGCCATGTAAAGACCAGAGAAGACCCTGTTTCGTCGCTCTTCACCCAGAACACTGATGATGAGTCTCTTGGTCTCGTCGGTTCCAAAGTTGTCGTCCTCGTCACCCGTCACAGTGGACTGTTTGCCGGTGACACCCATAATCCTGTAAAGCAGATCTCCCAGGAGTTGGCAAGATGCCAATCTGATCCTGTGGTTCTCATCGAACAGTCCCTCTTCAAGCTGTGGTAAGAAGAGGTTTATTGCGGAGTCTGCGTACTGCTGTACAATCCTCTGTCCTGCTTTGTAGGAGGTATGTCGTACAAACTCGCTCTCAGACGCCAAACCATTGAGAATAGGCGTTAATATTGGACCGATGAACTCAGCGAAGTCATCTTTCATTGTCATAGGGAAGTAAATAAACAACATCAAATATCCTTCTCTAATGTGAGGAAGCAGAGTTTCATCATCCAAACAGATGAGAACTTCTGACATTGTTCTCTCCAGTCGTTCAGGTCCCAGACCCACCATCACTTCACTGATACCCTGTGCAGCTCCAGATCTGTCTACTGAGCTCTGCTCTGAGATCAGGGTAACCAGCAACCATTCCATCAGACCATCAATCTCACCGATACCCGTCACCAGACATCCCAGTGCCCGGGCCGAGTACAGCCTGACATCAGGAACAGGGTCAAGAAGAGCAGACTTTATCCCCGGGATTATTGAACCAAGGTACGGCTTCAAATCCTTCTCGTCCGTTAAAACAAGCATGTTTCCAATAATCTGAGCGGCTGCTTTCTTTGTGTCTGTTCTTTGCTCGAAGGACCGACACACCACTGGTACGATCAAAGCTAGAGACGGAGCGTCTATCTTGTGAACGAACGAGGTTTTCATGAGAGCTCTTAGACACTTATCAGTATGTTTTGAAGGATCAGACAGAGCACCTAGCAACAGATGTACGATTGCTTGAATTTCTGGGTTCCTGATCACAGAGCCGATCTGTTTGAGAGCAGCTTGACTTGCTCTTTGAACCTTGGTGTGAGAATCAGCCATTACTTCGATAAGTTTAGGAACTATGTTAGGGAGGCAGGATGATAACTGTTTGGGGTTACAGTAAGCCATGGCACCCAGCAACTCGACACTACCAGCCTTGGTCCTCCAGGCATCATCAGTCAGAGCTTTCAGGAGGGATGGTAGAACAAGCTTCACTCCGTGTCCACTCAGTTTAGCCATTATAGCTTTAGATGCCTTCTCAGTGGCTTCTCGGACGTATTGATTACCGTCTCCGAAGCAAACCAGTAGATGTGGCAAGACATTGATCACATATGGTTCAAACAAAGTTCCCATCATAGTACAGAGTTGTTCAAACGCCATCATGGCTCCTTCTCGGTGTTTGAAGTTCTTTTTGTTAGTGATAGCCTCGATCAGAGTAGGCATGATCTCCAACTGTTTCAGGGACAACAACCCCAGTCCCTTGACTAGACCAGCTAGTCCGTGTGCAGCACCTCTTCTCTCTCCGTAGTTCTCTGATTCCAGCAGCTGGTAAAGGATCCTCTGAATAAGCTGTGGAGCTACGTCCTTGATAGAGGGAACCAACGGAGCCAAACACTCGGCTACAGCAACCTGTACCTGTTCTGAGGGAGTAGAAAGTGAGTCCATCAACTTGCAAACAATCGGCTTCACTTTGGGATCATCTTGTTTGAGATGCTTTGCCAGTGTTGCCATCAGAATAACCACATTCTGTTTAACCACATCTGTAGCTTTTGAGTCGGGAGTGTTGTCTAGGTAGTTCTCAAAAACAGGCAGGAGCGTATCAATGACAAGCTTGCCATGCACGTTGATAACTTTAATACCAACATCTCTCATCTTAGCTTGGACAAGTATGCAGTTGTCAGAGAGACCTCTAGGAACGATAAGACTAACAAGGTTCAACAGTTGTTCGTTTACAAGGAACGGAACTATAGAGGCTAAAGCTTCTGCTATACCGGCTCTTTCTTCCCATTTATCAGCTGGAGCTGCAAACAATACTCGTCCCATGTCATCTAATATTGGTTTGGGAATATCAGATTTCTTAATGTACAGATTTACAAGCTTCTCTAAAACCTCATCAATAGAATCGTCCAGTTCTTCTAAGATGTTAGCTAGAGCTTTGCCAGCTGCAATCTGGAGGTGTTCCTGTGGACTAACCACGTGAACTAGCAAACCATCACAGATTCCAGCGTGCACTTTAAACTCACAGGAAAGATCGGACCACAGAGCTGTACCGGCAACCTGTACATTGCTCACCACATCAAACTTAGACATCCAAACAGCTGTACTGAGCCGATTAGCGAGTGTATTCGCAACAGAGCTCTCGTAAACCAAGATGCTGAGAGCTGTGCTGAGGACTTTGAGTCCTAGGAGGATGTTTACTCGGAGCACATCGTTAGGAGATGTTAAGTAGTCCATCAGAACTGAAACCTCACCATCACCAGCTATCGCACAACCAGGATCTCCGTTAGAAGCACTACAAACTTCATGCAGAACGGAGAGCAGTTTCGTACCAACAGGTCCAATAGGTTTTCTCTCGAACGTTGCACAGGACATCCTCAACAAGTCCTCCATCGGCATGAAAGTGGGACCATCAAACAGGTTATCCGCTGATGCTCTTTTCTTGAGATGCGCTAGAATAACATCCAGAGCAACAACAGCATTTTCTTCATAGTCCTCCGAGGTCATCTTGGATTTTTCTACGATGTATCGGAGGAAGGGGAAAGCAAGAGCAAAAGAAGCAGAAGAGAGCGTGAATCCTGTTACGAGCATGCGCTTGAGCTGTTCCACACATCTTACAAATGCATCTTCTAGGGACTCACCAAGCCAGTCAGGGTTTATTGAGCACGGTGGATCGTGAAGACGTACTGTCAACCGTCCCAGCAGGAACCCTAGGTCCTTAAAAGTAGCAGGAAATACTTTCAAACACAGCTTTATCAAGAGGTCAATCGCGTGCTTTGCAGTAAGGGGGAAATTTAGAATTTCCATAGTCGCAGACGAGATTCGAGCAATACTGTGCATGATGTGCACAATGTCAGCGTCCAAACAGGCCATCATGATGTTGTTTTTCTGGTTGAAATCCTTTTTCAAGGTCTCCACATTGGTTCTGATACCTTCCTCTACATCGAGCCTGAAATTTAAATCGTCTTGCTGTTTCTTTGTCAGTGTCATTCCCTTTTGCTTGGCCAACTTAGCCTCCACCTCCATAGCCCACTTTTGATCCTCAAAATTGTAAAGCCTTGATTCTCGTTTGATATTTCTGTCCACGACCACACTCTTTTCAAACTCTTCTAACAGAACTGTTTTCCACAGAGTTCCTGATGGAGTACGGTGAATCTCTAGGTCCTCCTCAGTGATACACTTGATGGCTGGTTTCTCGAACACGTCTAAACAAAGTGAGAAGAAGGGAGTGATGAGGGTGAGGCAATGTTTGCTGAGGTGCGAGACGAGACTGTAGCTCTCAGGGGTGTGATTCGCTTGAATCATTGCCAGGATTTCTTGTGCGTACGTCTCTCCGAACTTGTACAGATCAATACCACAAACACTGGCGAGGTATTCAAACAGTCCGTTACTCTCCGGTTTAAGGTTTGGAGACATTATCATGAGAAGGACATCCATGTAACACCTCTCTTTGGTTGCTGTGCTCAAAGTTGCCACGATGGAGAAGATATCTTTGATGAAGTAGACAAACTTCAGAGCTCTATGAGGGTTGTCGTCCGTTTTGCTGTAGTTAAGAACGTTGGAATTTAGGTAACCAATGACAATAGCAGCAAGACCCTCGCTACTCTGAACAAGCTTCTTCACAGCTGACTGAGCTGCTTTGATGCTGGGGTAGGTCTTCGTTAGAACTATGTCAAGAAGGGTGAACATCAGAGATTTCGTCAGATCCGCTCCAATCTGACCTTGGAAAAGGTAAATGAGCGGCTTGATAAAGTTCACAAAAGCAATGGCTTCATCGTCATGGATTGCAGACAGAACTTTACCAAGTGCGCCGACAACAGTGCTTGACAGAAGTTTCTCCTTTACTTTTCCCAACATAACCTCAGAATCTCCCAAATCTTTGCCAGCAAGTTTCATGAGAAGTGCTCCAGCTGCTAAACCCTCCACTATTGACAGTACGTTGTTTGAAGCTGTCTTATCCACCACTGTCAGTAGCGAATCCTCCAACAATTCAAGTAAAGATAGGGTATCATTTTTGAAGAAAGAGTCTGCAGCTAAGAGATATGCTATCCTGGTGTGGGCTGTTCCTCCCTTTATAAAACCTTGTTTGAACAGTTCAATGGTGGACTTCCCGACGGTAACTTTGATCTTAGCACCCCACAGGGCCAGAGAGTTAATACTTTCTATTTGTGCTGTCTCGTTGCTCTCTGATTTGAGGTATGCTTGATATTTACCGATAACATGTTCGATAATTCCCTCTGATGCGGCTTGAGATGAGGAGAGTTTGCCAATAAGTTTGATGACCATAACTCTCTGCTGATAAGCAGCAATCTTACCATGACAGCCCTCCAATATCTTGAACAAACCATCAACTAGTCCAGTAATAGCGGAGCTGTCGGAAACTTCTCCGAACACCACAACAAAGCACGGCTCTACTCCCTCGTGTAGTAGTGGGTTAGAGGACGCCAGCAGGGGTCCTAAGATATCCAGGAAATCTTTAACATACCTGCTGAGGTCGAGTGTCAGAGCTGAGATTGCCTCGGTGAAGGCATTGACTGCAAACTCTGGAGTCCGTAAAGCAGCTCTCTTCATTCCCGCGATTATCTTTGCAGAAAACATCTCATGAGAGATGAGGGACAACATGGCACTGGCAGATCTCCTTAAATGTGGGTGAATGTTGCTTTTAGCCAGGAACATAACCTCAACATACTTATCAAGAGCTTTGGGGAGGACACTCTGTACTTTCTCTTCGGCCCCGACCTCTTTAGCTGTGATGAGAAGGAAGGAAAGGAAAGAAACAGTCCAAGCTGACACGTCACCAGACAGCACAGCGTCAATATACTTCTCCAGAACATCAGTCTTGTGAGAGATACTCTTCAGGAATATACTCCGCAGATATGCGAGCTTCTTGGGCTCCCAAGTTCCGGCTGTAGCTGCAAACGCAGCGCTCTGAATACCAAGGAACATGGAGAGAGCGTTGGGGGACTTTAGGAACATTTCGGAGAGGTGAGTCATGACGGTGAGGGTGGTAGCAAAGAGGGCCCGCCCGTTCATGGCAAGAGCGGGGGCGACATGGGGAATCTTCAAGTTTGGTATGGCGAGTGTCATGGCTTTTGTTACAACCGACCCAGCTTGTTTTGGGTTGGCCTTGCACCACTCTCCAACAAACGACTGAAATGGTAGAGGGGGGTTAATAATACAGGACCAATTAGTTTCTGGACAATATATTACTGGACCAGATAGGTGGAGACATTTTGCACTACCGTACAGGCCGGATCACAGGTACAATAAAAGGCGAAATCTACCTATCTATCTGTTCAATCAAACTCCTGGCTAATTGTGATTTTAATAGACCTAAATTTAAAGTCTACCTAGAAGTTTCATTACACAGCCCAAACAGCTCGAGTCATTACAACGGAAATGACACGTAATATTAAAGGAGCATTTCTTTTGAACTTTATGAGATAACACTGCTTATCAGCAACGGGCACACGCTTTACACGCGACTTAGATTTTATTTCAGTGTGGCTTTGTTATCTTTTGTGTGTACCTACTACACCTCTCCCTTTATTCTGTGTCCCGGTTAAATCTTGAAAATCTATTTTATCCACGAAACTTTGGACTTATAATCGCCGTATCAGTGATTAAACAAGAAAACAGTATAGATCCAAAATTGGTCATACTCATTGATCATGGTATTAAATCCATGAACTAAGTGAGATTATCTGTTATTTGACGTTAAGGATTCAAATAATACATATTTGATAACTTTTCTTAGTTGTCAAGGTATGAAAAATAAATATGTTATAATTATTTGACGGTACTTTAGTTTTCTGGAATTAAAATCACGACCTTTCCAATGATGATCACGTGACTATATTCCCCTTAGCAAAACGTGTGATCGCATAAAGTCATGTGATCTATGTTCCAACTTGGTGACTCAATCAAGATATTACATTCTTAATCTGTAACTCTAATGATCAGGTGACAAAACGTAACCTGTGCATTTAACTGACCCTGCAATGATTCGTGAACTCTCTCTAACGAGACCCAATCAAACTTGTTCTAAATTTAGAATTCCGCTCGTTAGCCCCTTATGATCACGTGTTAGTACGTAATAATCACATGGTCTATCAAAGGATTTTTCCAGTATATAAGCCGTCATCATTTCAGGGAGAGTATCAGTTGTCTATCTCTTCATTACAGTTTACATTACTACTTCCTCAACAATACTTACTAAACAAGTGGACATGTCTCTTCTCATTGACTTCAGACTCGCCTATGACTTGGCCTCCATCACCTATCCTGCTAAACCTCCCACAACCCGATCTCTTCCTAAACTTCCCACTACATTATCCATTCCTAAACATCCCACCGCCCGATCCCTTCCTAAACCTCCAACCACCCGATCCCCTCCCATCTCTACAATCAAGAAACTGGAAACAGCTCTTCCTACAGTAGCAGTGATAGAAACCTTCCACTTTGGTTCTCCTGCAGTCTTACCTCCAAACCTCCCTTCCTTCCTATCACATCAACAAACCCCACTTAAGTTAACCACACCTCAGTTCAGATTCAGAAGACACACTACTTCTTCCAAACCCTACATCAGAACCACCCAGGACTTTAAACCCCAGAAGGCTCCCTGTCCAGCTCGCTCCAGACATCAGACCGCTCCCCCTAGCTACCGGAACCTGGACCCTGCACTGTTGGAGCTCCTCAACCACATCACTACTTTGTACAGATCTGTCTGGAGGTACATCAGGGATGGGTTCAGCCTAACAGAAGCTCTGGATCACTACCATCTCACTCCCGACATGTGGACTTACCGTAGACTGATAGCAGAGACCTGGATAGCCTTTAGGGATCCCTACATTGCTAAAATCCACTTCCTGACGAGCTTGTACGGAAGTATCCCACGTGGACTGGTGATGCATGCTCTCACTTATGCTGCTAGCAAGACTCTCAACCATTGGGCTAGAAAGAGGAAACTACACGAGAAGAGACGAGATGGAACTCTTATGTCTATGTAGAGATTTGTAGAAATGGTGTATATATATTCAGATTTACTCTTTTTCAGAGTGTAAGATTTAAAAATATCAGGATTCAGAATTACTATGTAACTTCCAATTCGATGTTAATCAACTAATTTAGTCAATTAGGATTGTTTATTTCCAATTAACTGTTTACTTATAATTACTGTTTTTCTCGTTACAAATCTAAATCTAAATTTCATAGGAAAAATAATAATACACTCTAATTAAAATCACCTGAATGGCAGCGATTGATTTCCTGTCATCGTAACGAGTAAGCGCACAATACAGGCAAGTCAGTAATATCTTAGCTTGTGAGTCATCCACCCCTGCTTTTACAAGAGCTGTCAGCTTCTTCAGGGTATCGCATCTCCCGCCAATTGATCCCTGAAAGTGCAAATTGGTAATTGTAATCTAAAAATTGCACTCTGGCTTGCTCACATGGCATTACAAAGGCAAACACTCCTTATGCTGAAAAATATACACTGAACTAAATATACTGACCGTTTGGCAGCAAAAAGTGTGATTCTTACCTGTGTAAGAAGATATCGGGTTGAGTCTGAAATAATTTGTGCTTCTTCTTCCATTCTGATATCTTTACATGCTACCTAAGTAAAAATTGTGAACTTGATATACGCAAGCCTAACGAGGTGTATACATATAATATTGCAAATGGGAGGGAGAATGGTCATACAGAAAGTACAATACAATTCTTATTTTTTCAGATAAACAGTATTAAAAACAATGTAGATAACTGGACATTTTTAAATCGCCGATATATATTTTAAATACATTATAGGCAGTAATTGCTCAGCATTCATGTAATAGCAAAGTCACTGTTGTGTAATATCAAATTACGATTTTAAATAGTCACGTGATTACACCTGCGATAAATAAAACAAACAACATCCGGCTCTAAAAGATAAATAAGAATAAATTTAGTTAATAATACGGAAAATAGAACTGCTTCGAGCCAATTACATATTTCATTACACATTACATCAGCAAGATTTTTATCAATTTCGAAACCCCTCCCCTGTAGGATATTGATACTATATGTGAACCCTACTAAATACGATTGCCTGCAAATTCCAGAAATGGTAGGTACAAATAATATTCCAGACAAATAATATAACAGCTCTTTCAATAATGTAAAAAGCAGTTGAGCTCAATCAAAATTTCTTTCGTCAACTTAAAAAACTATCTGTGATTATCGAACAGTCCTTTAGTGTTACATCAAGCGTAGACGTAGCTAAACCGACTCAAGTTCTGAGGTAATGTGGAAATAACGGGGCCATATCCGTTAGAGTTGTCGTACAGTTCGAAGAGTGGCGCCGCTACCAACTTGTAGTTTCTGGGCACAGCAAACATTGCTCGCTCGGGTAACCTGATGGTATTAAACTGTGTAGTGTGTAACCAGTACGAATTTCTTTGACCTCATTACTTACATCCTGACAAACAATTTCAGTTTATTATGTCATAAATATACGATTTCATGTCTTTAATGAAATTCGTTTTGCAATATCGAGCTTTAAGCTGCCAGCTTTATAGCATGGAAGAAGGGTATGGGTCGTAGTAACTATATGGTATAAACGTTGCACGAGAAATAACGACAATTATTTTATAAACGAATCCTACAAATTATTGTAAAGATAATCGTATTATCTATGCTTAGTTGTGGACTGTAGTGACGGATTTATGAGAGGAAATACCAATCTGTGAAAATATAAAACTTTTATCCTACTGTAACTTTCCGCGAAAATTGTTATTCAAAGAACTATGCATCATTCCCCATCATTTTATAAGATCCTTGGTTCTCATACATTATATGATATATATTGTCAGAAAGCCAGTGCCTCTGAATCTATACCAAAGTCTAAATTAAAACAAGACATTTAATCGGTCAGGAACAGACTGTTAAAGATAAAGCAACTCTTTCTGTCTGATACGAAAAACTTTGGCAGGTTAATTCAGCAGAAATATTGTCAAAGAAATTTTAGCACAAAAAGATTATCAGAGTCTATTCATAACCAGAAAATCAGAACACTATCGCTTTCCTTTGTGCCAGTAATCACCATATTTGACATAAATGCCACATTGTCAGGATATAAGTGTTATGCCGTGGAAAGGACATGTTTTTACAATAGTTGCAATATTATATTATGTAACGTGCCTTAAAGACTTATTACTATTTATATTTATAGCAGACTATTATGTAGACGTAATGTATCAAATATTCGTACTAGGAAAGCAGGAACAATAATAATACACTATCTGGGGATTAATATCTGGTAAACAGTAAGCAAGGCGCACTCAAATTATTGAAAAAAATTAAACTTGAATTGAAGTTCACCTGCCAGCTGAAATGAGAGTTTATGGTGATCCTTATTATGCAATATCCATTATGCAAACAGTAAGGGGACTAAGAGGCACAGTTATCTCTGTTGTGAGGATACAAGTAAATGCACTTACGGAGATTAAACTAATTACTAAACTGAGATTAAACTAATTACTAAACTATATGTCCCAGCTAGTAGTAGAGTAATCTGCAGGTTTTAACAGAAAGTAACTTTGATGTCCAAATAAATCGAATCTCTAACCTGACTAAGAAGAGACGCCTGTGCTCCTTGGGTTTAGTGACGTGTGGAGGAATGTAAGGATATTGGGGAGGCTCGTAGTTAGGTCTCCACCAATTACAAATCATCTCATCAACTCCCCAGTGTATCGTGTCTCCTTGTCGACCAAGGGTATCTGATAAACACTTCTTTAGGCATTCCACTTCATCTTCACCTGGTAGCACTTCTGCTCCTGCATAATGTCATGGTTAGATGATTGAATAAAAATGTAATTTACAGTATTACTTTAAATCACAAGTTATTTATTAAATTAAGTCTAAAATAACAATTGACAAACCAGGGAGTTTGAAAAATGATGTCCCCAGCTGCAAGAGAAGGACATGAGGCAGATTGTGTTCATGGACTAGCAGCACACCCTCAACAGTCTTACGCATTCCAATTGATCCGTATTCATCTCTCATACGCTGAAACCTTGCAGCTACAGATGCATCCTTTTCATACTGGGGCTCCTTTGTTCCAAATGTGTAGTTTGACAAAGGGTATAGCTGAACAACTCTCTCATTAACTACTGATGGCATCCTAAAGAGGGATACTGATTGAGAAATGGAATTATGATAAATGTGATAATATGATGATTATACAGCTGATACGAAGCAGGATGAAAGTTCAATGAATCAAATATGAAATTAAACAAAGAATGAATGAAACAGAATAGTAGAATATGGTTCGAAAAGTTGGAAGAGATTGTATAAGACGAAAATTTTATGGTTGCATGATTACAGCTGTATTTATCAAGCTTTTACATATTTTAGGCTGTCGAATCTCCATGTTTGCTATTAATTCTTGGACAATTTGGCCAAATCGTTTGATCACTTTATGACAGGGACAGCTTCTTTGGGTGCTGAGATGCACAACTCATTCTCAAGGAACTGATTTTAACACATTAGAGCCGGCACCCAGCCGAATTTGCAGTAGTATAAAGCTGATGAGTTAACAGAAACTTAAATCAAAATTTTCAGTTATTAGTCGGGAAAATCGGTGATCCAAGAGATTAAAGAAACAGACAGCTGAGAAAAAATTGAAAAGTTTTCTGCTGATGAAATTGTTTTTAAATATTGTATTTGATAATTAATTAATGTTGGTGGGGAAATATTTATTATATATGTATTTTTTCACACAGTGCGATGATATTTTGTAGACATGTGTGATGATGTGATGTCATAAATTTTACTTTACTTTACTTTACTTTACTTTTGATACATGATACTATAATCAGCTGTACAATTTTACGGACGAAATGATCCCAGGGGGGGACTCCCAACCTACAGCTTATAATATAATTATTTGTTGTTTGTAAAGTGCTGTTGATTGATTAGTAAACTTTATTTAAATGTACCTTTGTCTCAGTGGTTAATTGGATAGTCATTATATAATACAAGTTATTTTACCCAAATTCAAACAACCTCTCATAACTTGTATTATTGAGTGACCATAACTGAATTATTTGATTATGACTTATTTTACTTACTCTAAATCCCCTTGTGGCAAGCTCGTCGACTACAATTGTTATTTACTCAACCAGCTTTCCACAATGTATCCTTACCCAGGAATCCCCAATTCCCTTAACCCCACCCTCTAACCCATAAAGCAATTCCAAACGATACATATGCCTCATCAAACCACCAAATCTAATCAACAACATCCACCACCTCACCTACCCAACCATCCACCCCTTAAGCAACTTATTTCACTATGTTATATTATGTTTCAATCGAAATCAATTCTTCCTTATGCTATATCTAATGAAAAAATAGTTACTAAATAGTTTTAAGTAATCAATGTCCCCTTTTTCCATTATAAATCAGACGTCCACCCATGATCTACTCATTTCAGGTGCAGCTAATTCGCCGGTGGTGGCAGCCCAGAGGGCACTCAGCACATCCCCCTGATCAATATTCTCAATAAAATGAGCGGAAAAAGACTTGACAGAAACTCACCTAGGACCCCCACCTCCTTGATGAGCCCCCACACAGAGAAAAGAACCAGATCATCCAAGAGTGAAAGTGAGAAACGAAGTGCAGTCGTAAACTCTACCTTTGAAAGAACCCCTAGCAATAGGAGCCTCCTACAGACGTCACTCCTCAAAAATGGCCGTGCTTCACCTCTGGCAACATCAATGTCAGAGTCTGAAGGAAATGTTAGTGATGACAGCACCAGCACATCAAAGCCAAAATCTAAAGTCGTCAAGTCCAAATGCCCCTGCTGCAGAACCTCTGGGGGTAAGTCTTGGCTTTTGACCTGTAAGGACTGTGGCCAGGTTTGGCACTCTCTATGTGCAAACTTGAATGGTGCTGATCTTACCCAGAAGGGGATTGATTCATTGCTTCCCAACTGGGGCTGTCCCTGGTGCTTTGTTGCCCCATACCCAAGACCAAAGCAGCATAAGTCGGCTAAGTTAGCAAATGCATTGCAAACAACTTGCTATGCAAACCAAATCTCGGCTGAGGTAATTGAGTCCCTGGAGGGTATAGTCGAGCAGAAAATGAAGCATATCACCCAACCCACGACTGACTTCATTGCATCAATACAACATCAGCTGACAGAGCTGACCCAAAACATAGCATCCTTAAAGAACACTCCTAACCGTCCTCCTCCTCCTCAAATGAACGACTACGATCCCCCACAACCACCACAACCCCCTAGGAGGGCCCCAATTCAAGTAGAAAGTGTCAGTTCAATCAACCTGGTACCTGATATAAAGCACATGGAAAACCATCTAGAAGACTACATCACAGAGAAAGAAGAGAGCGACCTCATGAACATGCTACAGAATCAACTCGCAGAATTCTCATTAGAGGGGCAAAGAAATGTACTTCAATATGGAGAGCACTACAAGTACATGGGTTCAAAGTCAAACCCTTTGGTGATGCCTGAACCCATCAAGAAACTGATGGAGCGTCTCAACAATGAGTATGGGTCTTCACACCAAGAGGAAAGGCACCACTACAGACTAAACTCTTGCCTAGTGAACATGTATGATGATAAGGAGTCAACTCTCCCAGAACACGCAGACAATGAGGGGGATATTGACCCAAAGTCATCTATCTTCACCATATCTCTAGGGATCCCACGTCACCTTCAGTTTAGGAACTTACAGTCTGACGAAACAATGAATGTCAAATGTAATAGCAGAAGCATGTACCAGATGAATAGGCATAGTCAAGACTTCTTCAAACACACCATCAAAAAAGAAGATGATGATTCTGTCCCTGACGGCATTCGCTTCAGTCTAACATTCAGGGCCATCCATTGGTCAAACTTCAACTCAACTATTCTCATAGGGGATTCTAACTTTGGGCCGATAACATTCGGAAGCGGCAAAGGTAAACTTGGTGAATCGACCCCTGGCCTCAGATCTTGGGCTCCTACAATAGACTCAATAGACCCACTATCATGCACATCATACCGTAATGTTGTGCTAATGGTGGGCACTAATGACCTTAAGAACAAAGTTACAGACCAAAAGGTCAAAGAACTTTATAAGCAATATAAAACAAAACTTAGTCTGATAAGGAAGTACAACCCTAAATGTAAAATATTCATATGTCCAGTACTTCCCACAAAATCACACGACAAGAACCGTAGAATTTTTATGTTTAATAGATTTATTGCTGAAGATTTATGCCAGTGTGACCTTAAAGTTATCCTAGTTGAAGGTTTTATCAAGTTCCTAGACAAGCGAACAAATCTTTTAGATTATGATCTTGCAAAGACTGATGTTGGAGATGAACTCCATCTCAATAGAAAAGGCACCAGCATCCTTGTTGTCCTATTAAAACGCTGCATCTTTCAATTTAAATCTAGTAAAACTAAATTATCAAGCAGTAGGTTATATTCTAACGCACTCAGAGGTGGCCCACCAAACCCTGTATAGATAAATGACTCCATCAATCAAACGAGAAATATGCGACTGCTGCAACAAAAACGTCCTTATTGGTCAAGGATACTTGGAATGTCAAAATTGTCCCAAAATAATACACAAATTACGCTTCAAAAATTCAAAATTTAGCCAAGGAGGCTCTGGACACTTATGTACCAACTGCTTCAGTATTAGTGTCATGATCTACAATCCCTTTAAGGAACTCATAGGACTTGACAAAGAGTCTGATGATAAGTTCTACTCAGAAGACTTCCTGGAGTCTTTTGACTGTATTAACCAAGCATCCACAATTTTGGAAAACTGTAAGAGTTACAAACTTAAATCAGTCCATGAAAAGGTCCCTAATAACTCTGATTTTAGCACAATGTTCTACAATATAGATGGAAATCTATCCAACTTTGACTCCTTTTCTGCAGAAATGAGCATGCAAAAACTTACTTACTCAGCTATTGCTCTTGCTGAAACAAATGTTAATCAAAACAAAGGTGATCTGTACAAATTAAGCAACTACTCGCATTTCTATAATGATAAAATTCCAAATAAAACAAAAGGAACAGGTGTCTGTTTATATATCCACTGTTCCTTCAATGCAACCATAAACGACAAGCTTATCAGTACAACTAAAAACCTTGAATCACTCTTTGTTACTGTCAATAAAGGGAGTGAAAAAGTTAATGTTGGTGTGGTTTATAGATCACCCAATGGGGACTCGAAAGAGTTTCTCAATGAGTTGACACACCTGAAGTCACTCTTCCCCAAAGACATAAAATCTATAATTTTGGGAGACTACAACTTTGACCTTCTAAAGAGAACAAATCCCACAACTCAAAAATTTGAAAATTTGTTTCTTTCATTGGGATTCTTTCCGCTCATCTCATTACCAACTCATTCCACAAACATTCACCAACATTCCTGTATAGACAATATACTCACCAATGACATTGAACACGTCACGATGTCTGGGGTAATTGATGACATGAATTCCCACCACAAACCAATCATAGCCATGTTCAACCTTTGCATGCCTAAGAACGAAACTTCTTCTGACCAAAAGCTACTCCAACACTACAGCTTCTCCAAGAAAAATTTTGATACTTTAATTACAGACCTTGAATCCAAAGAAGATATCCTGGCAAACAGTACCAACTTTGAAACCTTCTTTGACATCTTCACACATACAATTGACTCTAACTGCAAACTAGATAAACCCAAAGTCTCCAAAAGAAATCCAATTAACAATCCTTGGATGACAGATGGAATTTCAGAAGCTATTTCAACTAAAGAGGAGCTGTATGATGACTGGATAGCCTCGAAAAAGTCAAAAGAATTTAGTCCAGATGGAAATATTGATCTTCACACAAAATTTTCAAACTATCGTCGATGTCTTAAAGGTGTAATAAAAAGTCAAAAAAAGAAATATTACTGTACTAAGATTATGGATCATCAAGGAGACAGCAAAAAGACTTGGGAAGTTATCAATGAATTAAGAGGAAAATGCAAAAAAACCATAAAGCCTCAATTCTGTGTCGACGGAGTACGCATCACAGAACGTAGACTCATAGCCAACAAATTTAATGAGTACTTTGCCTCAATAGCGTCGAAATTGAATGAACAAGTTGATGGGGAAATGAAAATTGAGCCACTTCCTTCATTTGTTGAATTGTTACCAAAAACTAACCCAAATTCAATGTACTTAACAGACTGCACTGAGAGTGAAATATCTCATATCATTTCTGAGCTACAAAATGGCAAAGCTAGTGATTTCCCCATCAGTGTTATTAAAAAGGCCTCACACATTCTCAGCCCAGTGCTTTCCATACAATACAACAACCTTATGTCAACAGGATGCTTTCCTGCCATCCTTAAGATAGGTAAAATTAGCCCCATCTACAAAAAAGATAACGAAGAACACTTACAAAATTATCGTCCAATTTCCACTCTCCCAATTTTCGGTAAAATTTTTGAAAAGGTTATCTACTCACGGCTTTATGGTTTTCTCTCGAGTCAGGGAATACTGCACGATAGCCAGTTTGGGTTCCGAAAGGGTCATTCAACATCACATGCACTCAACTACTCTATTCACCACATTCAGCAGTCACTCAAAGCCGGTAATCATGTTTTAGGAATCTTTATCGACCTAAGTAAAGCATTTGATACAATAGATCACTCAATACTTCTCAAAAAATTAAACACATACGGGATCAGAGGACGGGCACACAAACTCCTGGAAAGTTATCTTTCCGACCGTAAACAATATGTTGGTGTGCTCAGTGAAATATCTGATACTCTACCTGTGCTTTTTGGAGTGCCACAAGGGAGCTGCTTAGGGCCCCTTCTGTTCCTAATTTACATAAACGATCTTACAAACTCTGAAAAGAACTCTAAATTTGTTCTATTTGCTGATGACACAAATATCTTTGTCGCTGCAAAAAGTAAAAACCTAGCATACAAAAAAGCCAATGATGTCCTAAATTCCGTACACCGCTACATGCTTGCCAATAAACTTCACATAAACACTGGCAAGAGCTGTTACCTTGAATTCTCAAACTCTCGATCCAACAAAGATGAAGATACACCCTCTGATCAAGAAATCAATATCAATGGCATACCCTTGGAGAGAGTACATGAAACTAAATTCTTAGGTGTAACAATCGATGAAGACCTAAACTGGAACGCACATAGAAGGAAATTAGCAAAAAAACTAGCCAGCTGCTGTGGCATGCTAAATAGAATTAAAGATAACATTCCCACATCACTCCATAAAGATCTATATCACACTCTGTTTGAAAGCTATCTTGCATATGGTATAACTGTCTGGGGAGGGGCATCTAACAAAAAACTTGAACCTCTGTTCAAAGCACAGAAAATGTGTGCCCGCATAATGTTTGGAGATAAAGAAGCATACTTGGATAAATTTAAAACTAGTGCACGATGCAGACCCTACGCGGAGCAAATCCTGGGCAAGGAATTCTACAGAAAGGAGCATACAAAACCTCTCTTCAACACTCATGAAATCATGAATGTGCATAATCTGTACTTCTACCATTGTGTTAATGACATCTTCAAGGTCTTGAAATATAGAACCCCTATATCACTATACTCCCTCTTTGAAACATCTGGCAGACTTGGCAAAGAGACACTCATTCTCACACCTAAACCATCAGACAGCTACATATACAGAGCAGGGACAATATGGAATACAGTACGACAAAATCTCATGCTAACTACATTCACCTGTTATAAGCCCAATCACCTCAAATCATCCATAAGAATCACCATCACTCACACTCAAAAGGAAGGAGAACCAAATGACTGGAACTTAGCCTTAAACAGCGTTCGACAAAATTCAAAAACTTTAAAATTGACCTTGCCTAGATTACTTAAGCTTGAAAAAGCGGTAATATCTTAGCAAAATATAGCTTGCAGCAGCCCCATACCTTGTCATGAACATAATATCGAAACTACCTCTGTGATCACATCTTTCTCTGGGTGCAAAATGAATATTATATATATTATATAGGTTTATTAGTTTTATAGAAATCTAAAAGTTCTATAGAAATTTATTATATATAAGGATTATAAACATTTTATTTGTGTGTTTTGTGTTATGCATTTTTATACCTACGGGTATATGGCCCCCAGAATATAGGTGGCCCCCAAAATATAGGTCATGTTAGTGGATACAGTTCTAACCAAGATAAGCGATACTAATGGGATCTGTTACTGCTAGGTTGGAGTAAAACATGTAACTAATGTTTCTGGATAAAAATTTTGGACCTACATGAGGTATTTTGGTATATTTGGTCATGACAGCGAAAGATTTAAACGATGTTGTCATTTTCTAGAGGGGTAAATATGGCGAAAAATTGTCATGACAAAAATCTGTCCAACACATGCCATTAAGACTACTGGTATGAGTATAAGTATTATTTTAAGCTATCTTTTCATCGAGACATCTGCAAACTGACAATTTGGAAAAAAGTTATGGCCACCACAATTTTACGGGCCCCCAGAATATAGGTCTATACGACCCCCAGAATATAGGTTGGTCAAAAACCCTGAACATGCCCAAAACCATGCTTTGGGATGCTCTACTTGTAGCTACTAGTCTCCTGAACCCACATATCAAGTTTTATCAAAATTGGATAAAAATTGGCCGAGTTATGGGATAAAAACAAAAACCATATGCCCATATACGGGCATACACACCAAATTTGATCGATTTTGGTCCATAAATTGGTCAAATATCAATATTTTTGAATGAAACCAACTTTATATGGAAGGTAAGCATATATTACACATTCTCTATGATTATCAGCTCAATATCTACCTAACTGTGGATTCTGTGTTCAAATAATCGCAAAAAATGAACAAAATCGCCCATATCTCAAACTGACTTCGCTCAAAACAATAGAACTCAATAGGGTTTCAATATTTTCACATGAAATTTTCAGAATCAACGTAGAATTGTCTCATGACCTTAAGTTTTGGGACAGAATTTTGAGTTAGGCCTTTAAAAAAATTTGGCGGCCAAAAATGTCTGATTTACAGTCATTGAGGTGCACATTGTATTGATACAGATAAAAACAGCCCCCCTCAATCATATCTAGGGACACTCCTTCAATCTTATTTAAGTATTTAGTTAAGATCCCTACTAAATTAGTGCATGAAAGCTTTTTAACTAGTAAAATTAAAGATTTACTCATTACGGGTATATGGCCCCCAGAATATAGGTTTTAAAAAAAAAATAGCGACCAAGATTCTGCATTTTCTCTGTCACCCTGAGCATTAAGGAATGTGGGGTAGTGATGAGAAACAGTTAAAGAACATATGCTGAAGAGATGGCATCATCAAAATGTATGAAGGTGGAGTATTTGAGGACGATTTTTGCATACCTATATTCTGGGGGCCGTAGTTTTTGATTTTTTGCTATTAAGTATACTCTAAACCATTTCAATTTAGTATCTGGAGCCATTGGCATCATCAATACAGTCTCAGCAACATATTCTGACTGCATATAACTGTCTGTGACAATTTTAGAACAACTTAGGAACAGATGTTTGGACCTATATTCTGGGGGCCCTGTTAAAAAATGGTATTTTTACAGGTGAAAAAAAAGTACACTTAAAAACCTAATAATTATTTTCAACTACCCAAGAAACATTTAAAGGGTTATTATGTACATATTTACAGCCCTAAACATGCTTAGAAGTAGTTTTAACACCTGTTTCTAAGTGCTCAAAAAGCGACCTATATTCTGGGGGCCATATACCCGTATACTATTTTAGAAGATATTTTTATAGAATGTTAGAAGTGCAGTAGGGTCAGTTTCAGACGAATTAAGCATAAATGACATCATTGCCATGTCTGAAGTGGTTTGTAAATGGGCCATTGTTAGCCCCAAGCGTTTTGGTCCCTCATTCCTGCCACTCAGCATTGCCTACTGTAAAGTAGAAATTTTTCTAAGATAATAGAGAAACTGACCTTGTCTCACTAAATTCAACCACTTACCATAATAAAAATACTAACAACCAAATAAAGTTTTTTAAATAATTATATACAATCACCAAAAATATTTCCTCAAGTTTACTTCTAGCTAACTAATTCGTGGTTTAAGCTCTTATTTTATTTATGATTAAAGGAATGTAAAATAAAACTTTTCGTTTCATTGAAAACTTTTCGTTTCATTGACACCTTTCACAAGCAAGAGCTACTTAGGCCTACTTGCTGTGAGGTGTCTCAGCTACATGATATGGGTTGGGTGTCCCCCCTTTTTTATTAGCTGGCAGATGAACACGATTTTTGGAACAGAACCATCAAGATTGATGTACTAGGTGTCAAATGTGTACTATGTAACTATGACCTCCAAGGAAGCTCACAACGAATACACAAGTACTTGTAGGTTTACAACCTACCAGGACGCGCGCCGAGTTGGACTCGTCGACGGTCCAATATATGGAACAGATATTTTACGAGTATCACCCGTTAAACAAGTACAACATACTGTTGTCGAATTCAAATTATTTGCAAAAGTAGAAAGTTACTCTTCTTAAAGGGTAAAAATGTATATTTAGCGCTTTCTTATCCTTGTTATGTCATTCTGTTATGCCAGGAGGTACAAAAAAGATACGTAGCGAGTTGGAATGACTTGTAGTACAAAAATTGTATCTTTTAATTAAATGTTCTGTCAAATAGTACACGGAGGCACGAAGCGAATAGCGATGGGACAGTGAAGAAGCGAATATTTATCCGTACAGCGCTCGATTTCTACTGTCGATTCAATTTTTCATGCGCAGGACGCGAGTAAAAATCGTGATCGTGAGGAATGCCGATTTAATTGTTAAAAACATTGTTGATATAAACAGTCTAGATCTTAACTTGGAGCCACAAGGCCAAGGGTAATTTTTGATTTTTTAGGGAACTTTTGTAATTCTTAAAGGGTAGATTTTATATAGGGTCATTGCTATATTATGTGTATATTGTTTGAATAATTTTATAGTTGTTGAATTTAATTGTTAATAGCGCTTTATAGAGAGCAAACATTATTTTAACGGGTGATACTTGTAAAATATCTGTTCCATACCGTCGACGAGTTCAACTCGGCGCTTGTAGGTTTACAACCTACCAGGACGCGCGCTGAGTTGGATATTTTACGAGTATCACCCGTTAACTCGGCGCGCGTCCTGGTAGGTTGTAAACCTACAAACATTATTTACATCTTCAATCTTGATTGAAACATTAGTATAAAATCAAGGATATATATTTATATCCTTGTAGCGCGATGCGTTACTGTGCCGCGCCGAGCACTCAATTATGCTTCTCGCAACGACACTAGAAGCATTTACTTATAGTGTTGATTCATGATTGTAGGTTTACAATCTACCAGGACGCGCGCCGAGTTGGTCTGGCCCGGCGCGCACTACTTCGTAGCACTTACCATCGAGAAGAAAGCGGCGTGCTACTTCGAAGAGATTTGGACGAGTAACATCTGTCAACTTCTAGTGTCGCTAAACCGACGAGATGCGCTACTGCAGGCCTACTGCCTAGCCGAGCTGCGATGAATTGACATCGTCAATTAAAACCAAACTTAGCTTTAAGTCCTTAGTGCTTAGGCTTAGGTAAGATTCAAAGTGTTCTTTTTATATATGCATCGAAGCATTTTGAATGACACAGTACATGGAGACAGTCACGACAGCGTCAGATATATTGCGAAAATATATCGGTGTCCGTTTGTCTTTGACTTTATTGTTGTAGGTTTGCAACCTACCAGGACGCGCGCCGAGTTGGACTCGTCGACGGTCCTGGAACAAATATTTTACGAGTATCACCCGTTAACTTTATTGAAGACTTATAATAATAAATGTATAATACAAGTTAGCGCTCTTCTCTGTACTCCCACTAAATCACTCGGATCGCGCTCGCCTCAATTAAAAAACATTTTTGCGAAAAGGCCCTGAGGTATGAAAGTAATTTAAATCGGTGTATTTTTGGACGCTGATTCCGAATCACCCCTCATTAAATTACGTAGGGTAAAAATGTTTCCCTGAAGAGTTATGGCATATGAGCAAAAAACTGTTTTTGTCACGTGACAGGCTTTGGCTAGTTAAACACGAATACTATTGTTTAGGGCTCGGGTTAGGGTTAGGGTTAGCTTCGAGTTTGGGGTTATGGTTGCATGTCATGTACTCATGTTGGGATTAGCGTTTATTTGACATACGTTGCATGCCACTTTTCGCGCTGATATTTGTGACACGCAACATGTATCAAGGGTTTAGGTAAATTGTAAAACCGTTTTGTTCGGCTGCAAAACCATTCAAACCAAAGTCACGTAATAATTTTAAGGCGAGCGAATTAGTTAAAGCCAACAGTTAGTGTACATCCCATGCAGGCATTCAAAGTAATGGTTGCTGAATAAGTATAACAGGTATGCTACCGTTCCAGTTGATATGGTGCAGTTAAAATAGGGTCAAAACTGTTATTTGTTTCGATTATCATTTTCTTTAGCGTCCACATATTGATATTAAATATTGTACCATTACTTACCTGGGGAGCCCAGGCTTTAATGTTCATAGCGATTCGGCGGAATGACAGTGGACAGGCTGAGCGCTGCCCAGTAAACCACTACCAGTTGGCCCACAGGACAATGTCAAATTGTTACACTTACAGTACTTGATTTTATGCCTACAAAATATTCTTAACTTGACATATCATATAGGGGTTGTTCACATATTTGATATTACGTAACCACGTTTTGGCCAATTTTTAACCCCCTCCCCCCTCCGCGGTAATCATTTTTACACATAGCTATTGTGTCAAAATTACACTAGCGTAAGAATTTGGAAACCCCCCTCGGCTGATCACGTAATATGACCCCGTATCATGCACTTGAAAATAAAAGCTCAGTTTTGACCACATTTCAACTGTATTTTGACGGCCCCTTATCGAGGAGACTGGTAACGGTAACATAACTGTAATCGCTAGACAAGTGTCACATATCAGTACATTCCCTATGTCTTGTTACAAGTTTCGATTAATTTATCTACCCAGTCTACGGCTGTTTCTACTTCTAGATGCCTTTTGGGCACCAAACTAATGATTCTATGAGTGGGAGGGGGTTCTTTATCTGCCAAGACTTTATTTCCGAGTCAGAGGTGGCTGAGGACTGGAAATAGTTTGATTAAAATGCATGCAAATGGATGCTACAAATTCAAAGTTCAATCTATTTGCAACAGAGAAATTGGAGTTATAGGACACCAGTAATGAATAGTAGCAAGCAATGCAAACTAGAAGATGGGTGAGAGTATAGTTCATTGTGTTGATATACGTGATTTTGGGTCTCTCAACTTGTCGTTACACAGTCCTTGTCATCATGCATCACGGTTGTGTACTTCTGAATTTGATGAATTTTTGGCTCAGTTCAAAAGTTTTGTTATCAGTGCAGTTTTGTCTGTTGCAGTATAAATTGTAAGTCATAGATTAGCAGGTATTCTTATATCGGACCGGCAGTACCAGTCCTGCCCAAATGCAGCCGGAATCACTGGAGCCAATATGGTTACTTCAATTCTCATCAACATTTTGTACTAATTTGCAGACCACTTAGGTCAACCAAACAGACGTGGCTTTTTTTCTAGAATTAACATAGAAAGGCTTTCTTTACGATTTTCTCCGGGTCACGGGACTGGTAGCATGTGACTGGTTAACTTTTAATCTGAGATGTGGACGGGATTCAGTTGTTCGTGTTATTTATACGCAAGTTCTGACGTATTTAATGTAAAATCCTATGAATTACACAGGTCTCATATGCAATTGTACCGCCTTTTCTTATCAAAAGATGATTAGTCGTTTTCTAGTATGAATCCAGTAAAAAAAACTCAAAGTAACTTAATAAACAGGTAAACAACCAAGTCTAGATGCTAGATCGTAAGATTTACAAAGAGCTAAAATTCTAACAGGTCTAAACTTAATTATCGTATTAATTTTTTGAGGAAGTAGAATATAAGAATATTCTGGGTGGTGTTCCGAATCTTAGAATCAGAACTGGAACCACAGGCTTATCTTTTCATGAATCGGCTGATGCGTTCAACTTCAAGACTTTGCACTTTGGTTGACGGTCATTTGACCTTCTATCTGCAGTTTAAACTAAAAAGTAGAAAGTACGATGATACTAATTTTACAGTAAAAACTATAATTTGGCTTCGTATTCTCCTTATTTTAGAACTTTTCTTATGCTGTTTTCTCTCCCATTTTTCTAGAACTTCTCTTAACATCAGAAAGCTTTACGGTATTTTATAACTTTTCAAATGCTGAAATTTTGTCTCCCATTATTTCTAGAACTTCTGTGACATGTTTGACGTTTCCGGTATTTCAATTCCCTACACGTAGTTAAATCCAACCATGATCACATACTGCATAGTGCATATAAACCATCAGGTTGTATGAGGACACATTCTGGTCTCGATGACCGAACTCAGTGGTTTTGTTTTTATGCTTCGTCATTGTGCTTATACCTACGTCCTACACCACACTAGTTTAAACTACAATTTATGTCTATAATGTTTTAAAGGGAAATGAGAAGAAACTTTTTATAACAAGTTCATAATGACCATTGTCAATCTAAACAATATTTAACACGATAATAGTCATGTGCTCTTGATAAGCAAAGTTGTGCTTCATTCAAGTTGAAGTTCTCTAGCGTAACCAATAACCATTGCAGTTGGTAGCTAACTCATGGCTCAAGCACCGGTAAATTCTTCATGAGGCCACACAATTAGACTAGTATCCTTTATAGAGCAATAGATTCGCTACTTCTTTTTCACCACACCTCCCATAAACTACGGTCAATATTTAAAATATAGCTTTTAGTCAGTTAGATTGGATTAAAGCTTTTAAAATGAGTGCCGAAAATTTCTGCGAAACAAGCTGAGAAACCGGGAATTATCCAGTGAGTTTTACAAAAAGTGAGCGATCTTCAAACACTATGGAGTTTCCTTTGAATCAGAAGCTAGCGTTAAAATTTGCTGGCATGTTCACCAAGACTTTGTAATCCATGCCACGTGACCAATGGTAAAATGATAATACACATTCATCCGATAAAGTTAAAATTATATCCACGGCTGGTGGCACCTTCCGAAATTAGCATAGTCATTGTGAGATAATATAATTGAAATAGGTAGAACATCTTTTCACGATCTTTATATCGTGTGTTACTGTTTAATCTTTATATTAGCAACTGTTTAAAAACTTGTCCACATCTAACTAGAAGTAGAAGATCAAACACTTTTGACGTTTTAGCTTAGCCGTTTATGTTCCTCCATCTACCATCGCTAAAGATTCAGAAAGTCAGGTACCGAGTATTTGAGGGGGAAGGACATTTCATCTTCCGACATATCACTCCCTCTGGCTTTGAATTATGGTTTGGGAAAAAGTTAGGTTTGGGTACCATATTGCCTTAAAAATCGTAAAGTCAAATGTCGTGAGAAGAAATGTCAAAGATTGAAATGTCGTATACCCTTCAATCCAGTAGCTGAAACTGACGGCAAATATAGTGCAGATCAGGTCTATTCTGCAGTTGTGACTTGTGACTAAACGTGATCTCTCGCACAAGTTTTCATTACAAATTTTAATCCTGAGTTTTTAAGCTGTCTGCACATCATTTGATCACGGATCGAAGGAGAAACTGATCACCGACACCACCGTTCTGTGAAACGGACCACATTCTCGTCAAGGATACCGCTCAAGTATTGTAAATAGGAGAAATCCATCCTTATCCAGTGAGATTGCATGCATGTCATAGCTTGAAATTTTCTTTAAAGTCACTTCATACTATTGATAGCTTTTCGTGCTTACTGCCACTTTTATTCATGCTCGCTGAATTGATTTTAATTTCAAGTCTATTGCATTGATTTGAGGTCGAACTTGGCAGTTTTCGTCATAGCATGCTGCAATCACAGACTTGTTTACGTTGAGGTAGTTTACAAGGCAGTATATTCTAGACAATAGTGACTAATTTGTAGATTTTACTTTCTTATCTTAGGTATTTACGTGCGACTTGTTCTATAGTTATACAGATCTACGGAGGATTCTTTGTTGTGGTAAAACAAGTCCGTACTTGTTAGCAATTGATTATAAGTTATTAACTAAGTTATGTTAGGTTTTAACCTGATAACGTGCTGTTGGTGGCTTCCTTTTTTATCTTTAATTGAGTTTGGAGCATCGCATGTTTGTCTTCAAGCTATCTTCCTGTTATAAGATTTCTTTCAGAGGTTTCGAGTTTTGAAAACTACACGTTAATGCAGTCGAATTAATCGGTTGGTGACAAATATCTGTCCTCCGATCGCTGACGCAATGTCTGATGACGAAACAACTAAATCAGTAAATCTGTGATCCAAATAATGAGCAAACTGTAGTTGTAATTGTAGTTGTAGCTCCCACAGAGTCTGTTTGAATTGTTTGATTGGTTTACCTCTCTACTGCACCGGATATGACAGTGCAGTACTGTCACTACCACCCAGTTACAGCACCCCTTAATTCGATTAGAGGGATTTAAACCCGGCAACTTAAAGTGGAACATAAAATCACACGAACATTGGTGCGTATCGCCAAGTAACGGAGGTCCGCCCATTAATTCGGAGACAATCCTCTGGCAATTAATTAATATCTCAATCACAATGGTTGGCACGGCGGCCCTTCGGCCGTTATCTTTGTTGACGAGTTGCCCGACGGCTAAGGATTTTGAAGTAACATTGAATTTCATTAAAACATGCATGGATTCCCATTCCTGAATTCTACAATTGTACAACTTAAGAATGCACCGTGACCGGTCTTTAAATATTTTCATAAATATTCAGATTCATTCCTTTTGTGCTGTGTAGTGCGTGATCAACTATGAATCAATAATACTTTGTGATGCTCCTTGCGAGTTGAATGACAAAGGTACGGTTAAACTTAATCATCTAACAGTTTCAATCCTTTATCTGTCTTTAAGAACAATAGATTTGCACGAATTCAAGGAAAATGCATCTTAATTAATTTACATTTTAGTACGGGACGGGAATAGATGATGATCCTGTTAAAAGGATAGTCGTTACGTGACTATACTAACATGCACAGTTTATAACGCATGATGTCGATGATTTAAGTTAATGTTGCATTGGGTTGGTACTTGGTATGGTTTGTTTCGATTCTGTGCGTCATTCAACCTCATACAACATACAAGTAAGCATTAAACATTAAACAACCACCATTTAACTCCTTCTCATTCTTAAGGTTTATGAAAAGAATTCAACTGAACAAGATCTTCTAAATGGAAATGTAAGTACAATTCGTTTACTTCACTTAGGTCTTAGGGTTAGAGTAAATATTGAAGTTGCTATGAACCTTATGATCATATATATTGTTGATTCAATCATCATACGTTTTATCTGCCTTTTAGCGGTGGGAGCCACTTGTTAAACTAAGACAGACAAAAGTATATATACGATAGAGAACGGAGTATCACCCATCACAAGTATCCCTAATTCTCACTTTCAAATATCAAATTGTACCTACCCCCAACACGACACATGACTGCAATCAAGACATAGACTCATTCACCAAGCTAACTCTGAAGTCTGAATAGCCATGTTGAACGTTTGGAGGTAGGGTAACCATTTTCTGATCACGGATGAGACTGGTACTATAACCGTATCGATGAGCTTTTTAATTTGGTGTTAATTTCTACATTCAAAGATGCGCGAAACGCTAGCTGTATCGACTGATAATTGTTTTTAGCATTATTTTCAGTGGCTTCAGACCACATTGCGTATTTGCAGTGCCAGTCAGTACAAAACAAAACCGTTCCAACTAAACCGATTCATTAAAAACCATACCGCTCTATGGTGGAGCTGAGGACCGAATTTTGGAATATCCGTTATTCCTTGACACTGCAGTCCGTGTGAATCCAATATCTACCATGGCAATGGTCCCTGAATTAGTCATGAATAGACTACACGAGAATTTTATCGCAGGAGAATTTGATAAGTGAATCAGAGGCGGAGACACATAACACATTACTCGTATTCATGCATTCACCGTAATTAATACCTGTAGTTTGAGTCAGTATCATTTCTTTCTTTATCGACCCTGTTTGTAGTCTCGATCAGCTGTAATTCGATTTACGCTGAAAATCTTTCGCACTGCTTTCCTTATTTGAAAGGAGCAGATTTGTTTTTTAGGTGTTACGTCGACAAGGCTACGCTTACTTTACTTCCTTCACGGCATAAAAATGGGTCCCATTCATCACAGTCGCTTACTTCCATAACTGATATTGTCTGTTTGTCCTCAACCGTAACCTTGACACCAGACCGTTGTCCACCGTTGCCTTGACACCACATGCCTCGAAACTGGATATCATGCCGTCCGACAGGTAGAGAGTAGATATTTACTGACACCACTATTTCACCCGCTATTATACGCCCCAGGGCCAGATCTCGTTATCTTATGTCAACTATACAGTATATCAGTGGAGAAACAAACTTGAGAATTATCAAATCTTATACATTCGATTATCTTATCTTTCACCTTTTACCTATCTCCTTTCTAACTATAATGAAGCTGTTGAAGAGACTAAGAAAGAGTGCCACCTGCTGCATACCAGTGAGATCCAACACCAACACATCTGATCACCCTCTCTACACCCTCCCTGAAGTTGGACAACCCCGCAAAACCTCAACCCCAGTTGGAATGATCAGCTCTCCTGTTGAGAAGTACACAAAGAGGATAGAACCTCGCTCTTTGGAGTCCTTGACCGCTATGAAACCTGACCTTTCCTCTATCAAGAACAATAAAGTTAAGACAACAGCACCTCAACAACAATTTGCTCAACAACAATTTGCTCAACAAGAGGGATATTCTACACCCGTTCAACCCACTGCCCCAGTCAAACCTGCCAGATCTAGGAAGACTCCCAACTTGAAGAAGAAAAGTGACCCCAGAAATAGTAAAAAGAGGACTACAGTTATCCCCGAGAATGCAGACATCTCTCACCTCCTACCTGTCGATGAGCTACATGACCAACCAAGACATTGCGATTTGGAGTGTATCGTATGTGCTCTGGCTAAACCTGAACTGAGGACAAGACATCATTGTACCTCCTACAATGTTCCTCGTACAATCCTATAATTTCGTGTAAATATGTGTATTTGTAATATTTAATTCTAATTCTATAATCTAAACAATGGCTCTAAATTTTTCTATAATTCTAATGTTCTCGCCTATGATTCAGAACATCTTTCCAGTTCACCATCATTACCATCCAGTTAAAATCAACATGGACATGGTGAAAAGGAAACAAGCATTCACCGAAATAAATAGATTTGTATTATGTTTAATTATCCAACATCTCACTTTGAAATATTGAGTTCTCATCTTGTAAACTCGTGACTTGTCAACAATTTAAATGTTCTCGAACATTGATCGCCTATGATTCAGAACATCGTTCCAGTTCACCATCATTACCATCCAGTTAAAATCAACATGGAGATTATATGGGGAAAAGGAAACAAGCATTCACCGAAATAAATAGATTTGTATTATGTTTAATTATCCAACCTCTCACTTTGAAATATTGAGTTCTCCTCTTGTCAACTGGTGACATGTCTAATATTTCAGGGCTACGTAAAGAGAGTAAACTAGCGATGATTCCCGAGTGTAATTCAGAACAACAACCACTCCCACCCAGAAGGCTGGTTCATCTGCCTAATAACGTTACCGGCTGCCATAATGACGAGTACGAAAAGAAGGAGGAGAATGAAGACAACCAGGAGAATCAGAAAGAAGAATTCGTAAGTTGGCATTGTATTCTCCATCTTCTCAAATAATCTTCAACATAGAAGCGGCTCCTTATCAACTATCACCAGTGATTCTACTGATTCACCACAGCATTAAACCTAAAGCCAATTAAACCGTCAGGACCCTTCTGGCTGCAAGACACCTCCTCCAAACGAGGAGATCCCAGGAAGCAGCGCTCAGCAGGAGTTGGAGAACCTGCGGAAAGCTAGGAACCTTGTTGTAGCTAAATCCAAAAAATACATTCCTCCTGGCCAGGTTAGTTCTGTGTTGAATAGTAATTAGAGAGTCAGTCAGTGCTTTAACAATCGGAAAGTGGGCCCAGGGCCTGTCCGTTCATAGACAAAGTTGTTTTATGTAACAATTGTATGGCTGAGGAATACTCCGATCAGAGGACAAAATTAATTGTTGTTCATATTAGTAAATCTTAAGATCGGACGTGTGCATCAACCCTCAAAGATATGAGATAAACAGATAAACATCCTTATCTTGTATTTCGAATTTACAATGCCCACTCCCACACCAGCGATCTGACCCCTATTTCTCATGGTGAAACGAGTGCAATTTAGGTTGTCAAACAGCCAACTATTAAACCCACACCGCTAAATCTTACAAGGAATCTACTGTTATACTTATAGCGCTACTGTGACCTGTATTTTGCTGTAGGTAGCCGAATGGTAATCAAAGACTTAAATCCATCCCGCGAAGACAATTTTAAAATTTCGCAAGTAACCAATTTTCTCATGTGCAAATTCATGACCATTGGAGGGGAAAAATAATTAATCATTCCATTATTCAACAGCACCTTGTACAATTTTAGCCGCTCATGAATCGAGAATATGAATGGAATTGAAGTAGAACAAATCAGGATTTACCAATCGAGGGAAGCGTTACCATGCCAACAATATGAATAGTAAAGTCATTACATATTACCCGAGGAGAAGGTTGTAAACATTATCGATGATTACCCAAATCATTTCGGTGGGATAAATCACAGGTTCGTTTGTTTATCGGATTAGCCGACATTGTCTCAGCTCACGTGTTGTGTCTATGTTTTGTAAAACGTTCAGTAAAAGCAGTCGGCATCACACACTCGTAAGTTAAAAGGTCTTTTAGTGTTCAATATTTTTGGATGGGAATTCTTAATTCTGCTGGACTTTCCACTTATTATCGATTTAAACCAAGCCTTACTTTGCTTAGAAATATTTCTCTTTTCGGCGTATGGAGGAGGTTTAATTCTTATCGGTCGCTGTTACGTACAGGTGCGAATTTTTCCTGATTAACCGACAAAACAATTCATCAATGCTGTGGGCTGTGTCTTATCGACTGTTAAAGTTTTATATTAGATTAAGAAATATCCTTCCAGCATTGGACATTATTTACAGTTACATAAAACATAATATGCTTTTTAACAAAGTGGGTGCACTAGGATTACTGTTGGTTTGGTAATGGTAAGGTCATTGTACGACGCTTATCAAATTGCGGTTAACCGGTGGCTCCGTTAGGGCTTCTACTTAGTAGAGACCATGAAGTAATTTATCTGCACGGAAAATGGAAGCTTTATTGTCTGAGCAAAAATTTAAATCCAGTCGAACGTGGTTCATACGGATTCCTTTTAAAAAAGTCGTCATGATTTATGAAAACGAACACTGATTAAACCATCAAATTTACTTACATCCACTAGAATAACCTCTCCCAGAGTTACACAGCGTTGAACGTGAAGGCGACAAACAGAACAAGCGAGAACTTAGCACAGTACATAAACAAAAAGGAAGACGGTAGACTTGCCAAGAAACTAAACTCGATAGATAGAGAGAAGACTGTCTTCACCAACTCTATAACTAGGGATGAAAAGGTAAAAACTCCCTTCTCATGCTCTTTAAACTCGTATCACTCTCGCTCAATGTGTGAAGAGCCAATTGGGGCTTTTGTTACTAAATAATCATGCGATTTTCAACAGTGCAATTGTTACCTAACCAATTTGTGATTAATTGGAATAACCTTGCTTATGAATTTGTGAAATTTGTAACTTCTGACAAAACCATCCTTAGATCCTGCTCCAGCGCTCTAAAGCCCTAGCAACAGTGCTACTAGCCCGCACTGACAGCAACCCAGAAGGAGACCCAGCACTAGCCTCAGCGAGCTCCCACAAACTGAACCGCCTCCCCCGACAGATCAGTACCAGTACCACCAGCACCAGGGCCAGACTAAACCGGAGCACTTCCAGATTGAACCAGATCAGACCCCCTCTCACCAGTGCTCCACTCAGACGAGTCGTATCAAGCCCTGCTAAACCTTGCACCGCAAAACCTAAACCAGCTAAACTGTTCACTATTCAACCTAAGCCAGTGAAACCAAAAACAGCAAAACCCCTGACAGCTAAAAGCGCCACCGTAAAGAGCCTCTCAGAGAAACCTTCGCTGTTGTACGGCGAGGACGTTAAGAGAGTGGCTCCTCTTAAGAGGTAAGATTATTCAGTCAAATATTTTAATATCAGGATTTTAAAATTATATAGTCAATAATTTAGCTCCAATTATCACCGAGCATTTGAAAATTGGAATCACTTTTAAATTTAGGTACTTAAAAATGAACATAAAACACTAACGATTGGCTACAATAAACTTCAAGATGCTTCCCCTACATTTGGAAGTTTATCGTAATACCATTTATTGATTATTGATTATTTGATATTGAGAATGTATTCTTCTCGATTTCTTTCAAATGTTGAATCCACTTTATTGAAAGAGGTATAAAAGCTTCCAGTTATCCTCGTATTATCAGGAGCAAGACAGCGAATATAATACGAAGTGTCAGCACCGAATCTTCGGAACCAGAAGAGAAAGTTCGCCCGACTCCAAATCAGACCAACACGAGCAAAGCCAGACTTCTCTGGGCAAACTCAGTCGACACTATCATCAAGAGGTATTTACGTGATTTTCAATTTGTGAGCACATTTTTGTCCATTGTTAATGTTCTGAGTGTCCTGGAACAGGGAGTGAAACACCCTGGTCTGGAGGTTATACACCTCATAATGTTGTGCAGATAGCATTCATATCAGTTTGTTCACTAAATATGTGGATGTGCAGTTAGAATTGCTCTTGTGTAGGCTAAGGTTACCAGGTTACCAGGTTACCAGGTTAAGTCTTCACCCGTAGATTTACTAGACTGCACATTCGAGGAAACTGTTCAAGATATTCGAAATTATACCCAAGGAAATGAAGGAAGGGCATTGGAACTACCCGTCGTCCCGAACCATGACGACACGACATAATATTGAAATTAACCACTGAGTCCTGACAAGTGCTGGGAATGACCTTGAGTCAGCACAACCCTCACTGGGAGCCGCAGACTCCTCCACCAAACTGGCACCATCACACCAGTGCCACAGTACACGTACCAGCCCTGTGGCGCCGGCAACTTGACTTACCCACCTGTGAATATGGGCAAGCTCTTGTCACCGAGTTTAATTAAGCGCGAATTAAGTGCTCCTCGCATCCACCCACCAGTGGTTGAGATATAATAACACTACATGACCTGCTACTAATACTCAACTCCATTCTCTCTGTTGTGAGCGCAGACAGCACTACATAACTCAAATGTAATTAGTTGCACTTCTCCTCTCCCCTCTCTCTCTCTCGCTCTCTCTCTCTCTCTCTCTAGCCTGCCCACAGCGAGCTCAGCAACAACTGTCCTGCTCAGCGGTACTGCTTACCACTCAAAATAGCACCCGGAAACTTGCTAGTATGTTCAATCTTGATCAGCCCAGCACACCACGTCACACCACCCTCACTTATAACAGCCTCTAGCGAACTTTACTGCCGGGCAGTGTAATCATGAAAGTAGATACTCACTACTCAGCTCATCATTAAATCTTGCTACGGGCACTTAACTCTAAATATAATCGAATGTGTGAGAGAATGTTCAGAGTAAACAGGCAGATGTAATTGTATTAGCTGACAAAGCAACGCACCACATTCAAGGTAGAAAGCAGCAAACTCGCAGTGAGTGCAGACATTATTTAATATAGTAATTAACTGTGTTGCATTGCAGCTACAGTAGCTCTGTATTCTTCTCCCTAGATACTTCCTTTACTACTGAGTCGCTACAGAATGTGAGCTCGATGTGAGCTCACTGTGTGCACAGAACACAGCTATATATTATCTTTCGGACCTACTTCCTTATATGGCATAATTAAGCATGATATGTTACTTTGAGAACCATACTCGAGAGGGCTGTATAATATAACCCCGAGCTGGAGAGTAGAGTATTAGAACCTTTGTGTCTCGCAACGGGCGAGACACTCACTATTCCTTTCTCCCTCTCTTCTCTCTCTCTCTCGCTCCCTATATACTGTATTGTAGTAATACACAGTGCGTTACTTTGAGTGAGCTTGCTAAATATCTTTTCCCTGAGCTCTGTCTTGCTTGTCGAGATGGTGTGTATGTAGTGGTAGTGAGCTCTAGTATGTGTGTGTGTGAGTAAGGCTCAGTAGTAGTAGTAGTACGGGAAATACTATCTCAGTAGTAGTGAGGAAAGTAGTCCACTACTGAGAGAGTTAGCTTGCTTAGCTAGTACACTGGGCAGCAGCAAGTCGTATAGTTTACACTTTGCAGTCTCTCTCGTGTTCGTGTAGTTTTATGTTTTGTGTGTGTGTGAGTGTGTGTGGGACTCACACCACGATGCTCGCTGTTTTGTAATATGATAGAGGTTGTGTGTTTTGTTTACTAGTTCATGTGCAAACATTCGGTATTTTCGTTTAGTACCTTACTTGCTAGTAGTCACACAGCCCCTCGTGAGGTTGTGGTTTCTTGCTAAATATTTCGCGTATTTTATTTTTATCTTCTTCCCGATTTAAATATTATATACTGTATAATAGACTAGTGCTCAGTGCTTGGATTTTATTTATTAAATTCTTGTTTTCCATTACATTTTTACACCTTGAGCTAGCTTAACTTTACGTTTAAAGTGAACATGCGATTGGCACTTTAATTCTAAACTTAGCAACCTTCAAGAACATTCTAATTGGCTCCTCAAGTTTGCAAGCCGCCGAGTTAAAAGCTTTTTAGCATGTATCTCCGATATAACAGGTTCTAGAATTCACTGCAACTAGTTTTATAATATATCGCCATTTAATCAAAAAGCTTGGGAAACTGCCAAATATTACCGCAAATGTTTTATGAACCTCATCCCAAACCTTGGTATGAATTATTTCAGTGAAGATGGATATAGCATGTGAGACCATGTTCCTGAAGGAACTTCAGAAGAACAAAGCTATCATTCTTACAAAGGAGAACACGAGAAGTGCGAGGGATAAGAAGAGGATCGCCTGGATGGCAATACAACAAGTGTTAGTGGCAACAAGTGGCAAGGAGTACAGTGTTCAGCAGCTCTGTAAAAAGTGGAATAATCTCCAGCAGAGAGTCAAGGAGAAGATAAGGAATAACGGGACAGATAAGGTTACCAAAACTTTACACGAACGAGATCTGTTGTGTCTTCAGATCATCGGACCGGAGAATCTGAACCTGCCTACGGGGCCTTTAGAGCTAAATTTGGGGGAGTTAAAACCAGACTTGGTGTTTGACGAGCATGAAGACTGTCCAGTAGTGGTTAATGTAACAAACGTGGGCAGTAACGAACAGTATGATAACAAACTTATAGACGTGTTAATAAACAACCACAACTCTTCTCCCAAACAGAGTAACGAGTCTCAAGTACTCGACCTCGTCATGAACAACCCCGAGCTGAAAAACAATCTTGTCACCTCCCTGGCATCTCTACAAAACTCACTCTCAACAGCAAACTCTATACAATCCACTGCGTCAGGTATTCTCCACGGGAGTCACGGCCACCCCAACGATATTACACTCCAGGATATCGACAACATTCAAACTAACATATTTACTGAGCTAGCCAACAGGATATCCCAGATTAACGGAACAAATTCTAACGAGTTGACAGTTCAACTTGCCAGCTCAGCCGAGCAGCTCACCTCACACCTAACTCCAGATCACATGACCACAAACCAGATCTCCGGAGATCAGTTTACTAACAGATTTGCGAGCTCGCCCGGTTCTGGTGGTATGGAGATGGGAGAGTATACTGGTAATAATGCCAATGGTAATAATGGTGGAGAGGAGTATTCTAGGGGGCTGCATGCGGAGGCTAAAAGTGGGACCCACTTTAACAACACGACTGCAACTAACAAGAGAAAAAGGAGGAGCTCGACATTATCAACATCCACACTTGGACAAGAGGAAGCAAAGTCAGATATACTCAATCTGAAGAGAGAGGTTTTGAAACTTAAGAAGGAGAAACTATTGCTGAAAAACGAGAAAACTCGACTAGAGATTGAGAGGCTGCGAGGGGCAGCGGTCGAGACGAAAGGTAGTCAAACTCAATCGTTATCCGATTTGAGGGACTCTGGGACTCAGACACCGAAACACGGCATAATAGAGTCCATACTGGAGTAATAGAGTTAAGGTTAAATGTAATTGAGTCAAATCTGGGGTGATTTGGTCAGTTGTGAGGCGGGAAGACGATATAACGGGATAAAGAATTCAGCCCGTTCTTTGATAGTTTATCGTATTTTTACTGTGTAAATATACTTGTTATACTGATTTGTATTTTGACATTTTGGTTTGAGATTCGTTTTTAGAAATGACTGTTTACTTGTTTTCATAAGCTCTTTAACGATATCTTTAGTCGGTTCAAAGATCAAAGGAGTGGTTCAATATTCTAGAATAACTAACGATACGATTCAGTTGTTTTGTAAAATTGTATCTAGAGCCACAGCTATCAAGCAAATTATTAAAAACTATTGATCCTTCTGAATTTTGAGCAGCTGAGCGCAACATGATTAAATGCCTATTTACCACATGTTTAAAAGATTCAGTTTAACTTTTATTGAATGATTTGCAAAGACAATAGATCATAAACCGGTTCAATATTTACAGGGACATAAAAGCGTGGCACAAAGCATTTCTCGTATCTCAGAACGGAAATTGCGTCAGAGTCAAACCGAATTCCATTTCTCTGAACGGAAAACACATGTCAACCTCCCCGCAAGGTAATTTCTTCTCCGCTTCGTCTCAAGGAAATCATATGCCCTCAATCCCAGATAGAACTCCACAGATGCCAGAAATAGTGGCTGATAAACCGCTGGTATCACCTCCGGTTATTAAGGAACGGTTGGACCCTCAATCATTGTCAAGACTCTTTTCCGATAGAGAAATGGATAAAGGGGCCTGGATTACGAACTATATCAATACTTCGTGTGCAGAGCATTTCCCTATGATATGATACAGTGTTTGGAGGAAGCCTGAATTCAGAAGATTTCCAGATTCGTCTCTAAACGTCTAGGGCGTGTTATCTAGTATTAACCATCAGCGACCGTTCCTAATTCGTCACATCAGACTCTGGTTTGAAGCAGGATAATTTCAGATCAAACTTTTAGCTGGGACACTAGTTTGTAGGTATAGGCTGACGAAATTGCAATTTCTAGTAAATTGACAACCGCAGATATTTTAATCAGATTTCCAACAAGCAGACAAGAAATTGGCGCATTTTTGAGGATTCCTTCTTCTGTTTGGCCAACCAAGCAATGGCAGTACAGAAAAGCACGCACGGGATGTAATTTTGAAGTAACCTGTAATGGCTGCCACGGTAAAAGGTTTTGCGAAAGCCCTCTTAATATGTTAATATGTTAATTTTATGTATCAACATCGCTGTAGGTATTTCCTAAACTAGCAATAACAAGAATGTATTTATTGAGATTTAGGTAACGGTTTAGCGATCATATTATGTGATTTTGATCATATTATGGTTTCGTTTTTGGTTTAGAGGGACGGTTTTGACGTTGTTCTTTGTTTGTGTACTATGTACGCGTTACTTTATGTAATATCCAATATTGTAAATAGTTTTTGTTTGAAACCCCAAAATATTCGGTATAAATTTAAACAAACGAATGATGAAGCAAAAATAAATTAGTTAAAAGAAACAGATCAACAGATTAAAGTCTCAGAAGTTTAAAGTCATTAAAAGCCGCGGGTTTTGTCACCTAAAAAATCAAATACCGACAGGTCAAGTAGGTTTCCCTGATTTAAACTTCTTGCCTTTAAGTCCCTTTGATTTGGCCCCTTTCAAAACTCCCGCCTTCCCCGCTTTTATCAAGTTATCAAACTGTCCCCGACTTTTAGACTTCCCCTTCTTCTGGTTGATGGAGACATAAGCATACGGCTCGTCCTTCCCCTTCTTCTTCATGTCCCCGGCTGCTTTGGAGGATTTGTACTTCGTTCCGTCGCTGCGTGGCCCGGGCTTCTTGTTGCTCCTCGCATCTCGGTCGCTTTTAGTATCCCTGAAAAGAAAAGTTTACAAACTGAACACGGATTGAAATATTGAATAAGTCAGGCTAAGAGCCAGGAGGTAGTCTTCATGCCCTAAATATCAGAAATCACCGTAAACTCATTTCGCCCCCCACCAGAATAACGGATCTTTTTAGAAATAAGCTCCGGAACTGACTACGCTAAGATGGCAGACAAATAATTTCACCGACCTGTAGATTCCCTTGCTGGGTCTCCCGAAGGGGTTGGTCGCAGCTTTCACTACCTCATCCTCTGAGTCAGCCTCGTTCTCTTCTCCCTCGCTGATCATGGCTTCTTCTATCTTCTGAAAATGAAAAAAATAAATAATACGTACACGGTCAATCCACGACATGGCTCTTGTTTAATCGTTGCATGGCTCTTGCAATTAATTACTTAGTTACACACTAGTGGAAAGTGATACACGCAGACATTATTTACCTTGGCCAGGTCCTCAATGACAAATTTGCCATCTTTTTCCGGTAGAGAGCAGGGTTCTTTCTTCGTTCCTTTGTATATTTTCGGAATCATAGAACTATCCAAGAAATCAAGCGGATTGTCACCTTCCACTAATTTAGCTGGCATCTGAGGGAAAAGCAAGGTTAATGTGCCGGATAACTAGGTCGGGTAGGTCGGGTAGGTCAGACGGGATTCTGAGCTGAAAGTTTGAAAAATAAGATTTCTATTAATTCTAACGATCTCACCTCTGATCTGGAGCCCCTGCCGCGGAGTCGCTTGAAGTCGTCCATCATCTCCTCATCCCCATCACTCTCCAACCCTCCATCCTCACTCTCCTCCTGTTTTCTCTCAACCCACCTGGCACTCTTTGCTGCCTTCTCACGCCGTTGTTCCTTTACTATGTGGTTTATGACCTTTTTATGCTCCTCTCCCGCCAGCTTGTGGACCAGTTCGTAACCGAACCGACGCAGTAAACGCTCCAGGATCACCCGAACTTTGGCTCTGACGAATTATAATAATTAGTGGGGTTAGTGGATCAGAGGACGGTGCATTAACTACTCGCCACTTTAATTAGGCACAACTGATAGGAGCCTATGGTTAATATTGCGATCACATTTACCCACATTTAGTTTAAAATTGATTATTTCGTTACGGATAAAAACATTTTAATACATACCTGAAGTGATGCCTCATTGGTTTTTCCCAACTACAGAAACCATCTAGCAGTGGTTTCACGTAAGGTTCCATTATAGTGAAATGTATAACACCAATACCCGCCTGAAGTAGAGTTTTATTAGCAAATACTTTCCTGTAATTTTCTGCGGAGTAGAGCTCAGTAGAGCTCTACTCAATTAGCAGCAACTAAGGAAAGGAAAAGTTGCAAAACTAAATATTTCTAAATGCCAAATCAGCTTTATAATGACCTTGATAAAGGCTATGACTCCTTTCAATATCTCTCTCTGTTTGGATTCCATCAAAGCGACAACAATTTCAAGAATTTGATCGAGTACTTCTGTCTCCAAGTAAGAGTTGTACTCGTAAACTATCTTGCTCAAACATAGCAGGGTTGCACTGAAAAAGACAGGTGTCATAAAGTAAGCATTTGCGGGATCTTTACACAATCACGTACAATATAGGATTTAACTTCTAAAACATCCTACTTCCGTATGATATCATATGATGTCGTAATTGCAGGTTTATTCGGACGCATCTTTTAATTTGCCTACAATCTTGAAATTAAATTACAGTCACTGTTGCCCAAATAAAATTACCGTAAATTGCCCTAATTTTACAAAACGAAAAGTTGAGTTAGGTACCCACCTAGCAAGATGAGTCTGTCCAGTTACACCTGCCATTATCATCTCTATGTAATTCTTCATGGCCAGTCTCTTATCCTGACTCTTGTCCAGGTACACATATCCAATCGCGGTTAGACATTTGTATGCGGCAACTCTCGTTTTCTCATTTTGTTCTTTCACACACAGGACTATCTGAGAATATGGTGTTACTATGGTGTTACAAGCTTTCTTAGGAATTTAAAGCAGTAAATGCTGCAGTTACTACCCGACGGTTAAGTGTACTAAAGGAAAAGATTCGACCAAGAAATAAAATTTTATTTATAACATCTGCCTTTAGATTTATGTCTCAACTATTAATACACGAAATAATCACTTCAATAAAGTTGTCGCCAGCTCATAAACACCACAAAAGTTTCTCGCCTATCCAATAAACAAAATTACCCCGACAAATATATAACAGCAACAAATACATGATAGCAACAACTAACCTCCGGTAAAATTGATGGGACAAATTCGAAGTTTTCTATGTCTAATTTCTTGACAAGAGACAGCAGACACTTGAGCCGATGTTTCTTTGCTCCGGGTTGTGCGAGAGAAAGGGACTCTGCTAGATGCTTGTACAGATCGTCTAAGTGGGAAATCACAAATCTGTTGTGAGCTTCAGTTCTTCCTTCCAGAATACTCCACAAAATCTGAAATTGAATAGGTTCATAATTAGTTGAAAACATACTGAGAAAATTATTGAAATAGATATGATACTCGGAACGAACATTTTGACGGACATAAAATGATTATAATATATAATTATGTAAAATATATTTTATGTAATAAGTCAATGGATTAACCTGGTAAGCCCTCTTCTGTCTGTTAGAATTGCCAGGTTCACTAAGCCAAGGAACAATCTCACTGTACATGGTGTTCAGATCATCCAAACTCAGATGAGAAATCATTGTGACCAGCAGTTCCAGCACCACTTTCTTCACGTGATCTGACATTACCTCCTCCTTAGACTTGGCCAACAACTGAGAAAGTTTGGGTAAGAATGATTTTTACATGGTATCTTTCGATCCTCCTGTAAATGGATATTAAGCGAAAAACTGAAGAAAGAACGCGCTAGTAAAAAATAGTTCTTACCTTCTCAAAGAACACATGTAAAGTGTCTTGAGGACAGATGGTGAGATAAGACTCAACACAGTCAATAACTGGTTTCAGGGGAGGGTCCTCAGGCTTCGGCTCCGTCAGGAAGATATTGAACAGTACGGGTAAAAAGTTTTTAGCAAAACGACCCAGTTCAATTTTCTGATCATCAGTTTGGCACGTTTCAATCAAGCTGATAAGAGACGTGCACAAGATGTTCCTAATCTCAGATCGCTGACCGATCAAAGTGCCAATAGTCTTGGCGATTACTTTGAATGATTCAAGTAAATCAGTCGGTGTTTTACAAAAACTTGGAAGCAAACTCCAAATTTGATACTCGAGATTGAAACAAACTTTCGCATCGAGATCCTTGTTCTCAGATTTTAAGGTTTCTGCACGAGTCCTCAATGTGGCAGTGATCGGAACCAAATCTGATACGAAAAACTTGAGTTCGGAATTTGAAACATTGTCCCTCAAAATTGGAAGTAGCCACCCATTTGGGATGTCGACAGTATCACCACTCTCAAAAGACAGCGGGAAGACTGTGAGCAGTCGCTGGGGTCCAATGAGCTTGACCAAAGAACCAGCGGTAGTGTTAAAGAGTGTGTTGTTGTTAAAATCAGGAGCTTCGCGGATAACAAACAGAGCAGGTATCAGGGGCTCGATTAGGTAAACACATTCCGGAGCAAGATTCTGGAACAATGAACCTACCACCTGAAATTTAAATATTGTGAATGTAAACCGTGTGAATAGTTGATTCATGATTGGCATTTGTTCTTGAATGCGGTCCAGCGGCAGTTTAACAAGAGGGACAGACATAAGTAGACACTAGACTTATAAGTTATAACAGCAATTTTAGGACCATATTTAGGTCGTAGAAGGAAAATTCGTTCTAAGCTATTAATTGCAGGGTTTGAGCCGCGCGCGGCAAAACACGAGTTTTTGCAATGCGGATGATGGCTTTCGATATTTCGGAGTCATTGCGCCTTACCAAAACGGTGACTTTATCGAGAAACCGCCCCTGTCGAGAAATTACTTTTTTGACTTTTCGGAATAAAATACCTGTAAAACGACGTCCCAAACAGATTGGTAAGTTAACTTCAACATATCCTTCAGTACGGTAACAACTTTCACCATTGGAATAGTCTTCTTTTCCTTTATGTCGTCCTAAAGGAAGGAGGATAAAATAACTGAGCACGTGTTCTTGTCAAAATACGGAGAAAAAATTTGCTTTACAACAGTACAATGGAGCAGAAAAACAGGAATTGTAACAAAATTAACCTCGTATAAATCCAATCCGGGAGGAATATTGGTAACGCAGAACTCTTCGAGGGCTACCAAAGTCGTTTGAACTACACCATAGTTCTTAGACAATACACTATCTGAGCAGACGGAGAACAAACTGAAAGTAAGAATATTTTAGGACAAAAACACAAAATATCACAGTGATCCAGTTTAAATAACAAAACTATTACAGTATTGATTGATTGTAACCATTAAGTAACCTATGAGCCATGATGATGCCAAGTTTTGGCTCTAGTTTAGCCAGATGTGAGTAGCTACTAGACAGGGCTTCCAACCAAACAGTTGTTATGGGGTGATCGTAACTTGCTGGCTTGTTGCTGTACAGATTCTGAGATGGACAAAAACAAATTCAGTAACTGTATATTATATAAGGATGTTGTTGTCAATTTGACATTCTCAAGCGCTTTACGGAAAGATGTTCACTTAACAATCTTACATTTAACAATGCAAATATTGTGAATATAACTACCATTAAAATCTGTCCTTGCATTTCCCCGGTCATCTGACACTCCTGCTTGAAGAGAGTGGTAAGCGCTTGTAACGCAGCTGAAGCAACTTTAGTGTGCTTCAGTGCAACCACACGCAGCAGTGACTCCAGTCCTGTGCGCAGTTCGGCTTCACTCGCGTGAGGCAGGACGTAACGGATGAAGGATACGGTGTGTAAAGTTACTTGTGCTTCTTTTGAGCCTGATAGTTTCAAAAGTTAACACTACAAATATTTAGTAAGCTTGATCAAATGTGAACATTTTCATCATACAATACCATTCAGTATTACAAAAATATTTCTAGCTTGACTAAAAAAATGATGACTAACCAGTATAAGCGTCAAGTTTCTGGCAACAGTTTTTCAACACCAGAGAACACGCCACCGGCACCGTTCTGGAAAGCAGCGCAAGTGAGCGCTGCGCAGAATGTCGTATCTTGGGTTTAGTGTGGAACACAAACTGTATCAAGAACTCCAACATCCTGACAACGGAGGACTCAGTCCAGATAGCATGGTCTTGTTGGGTCAGAAGGTGGGAGATGGAGGTCAACAGAGATCGGACCAGCGCTACTGATATATCTGACGGAGGTAAGATGATAAGTGCTTTCTTTCTCCTGCACCAGATGAACATTTTAAATTACAAATTATTAGAAACTTTTATTATGAATGGAAAATAAGGACAATATTAACAAGTGGCCCAGTTCGTAATTCAAATTAAAGTTAAGAAGATTTCGAGAACGGGACAATCAAAAACACTAATAATAACCTTTGTTAGTCTGAGACTCCAGAACAGTGAACAGCAATTTTGATGCAGGAGCAAACTTAGCACGTAATATGTTCTGAGGAACTGATGGGATGACAAGACCGAGCAGGTAGGTTATGGCAGTAAGTTGTTCAGTTCCTGAAGCTGATTCTAATGCTGTGAGAAGTGCTGCAAAGTACGCGATAGGACTCTCTTCTTCTCCCTGTCAGACATTTATCATTCAGTTCAGCTAGAATGCTACGTTTAATATTTAATAATTAGGACAGGAGCCCAGTGTCTCATTTAAGTATCAAAGTATCGTAAGACACGGTCTGCAAACGAAAATTTGTTACCTGCCGTCCACGATCATGGACGCAGGACGCTAGTCATTAATCGATTGAAGATGTTTTACCTGACTCTTGATGACCTCTGTGATAGCAGTAAGAACAGCACACACTTCCTTGTGGCTGTCCAGTGGAGAGTTCCACAGTTTTCTCACTCTGTCAAAAGAGGGCAATGTTCCTGCTGCTCCACTTGCGATGGTCCACGTGGACAGAGCTGCAGATTAATTATAAAATTTCGAGAATAAATATCCAGCACTTACTTCAATGACAATTGACACACTAAAGAATACAATATGGTCATCACTTGAATATACCAAATCAAAATGGCGCGGCGTGTGTAAAATCGAACGACTTCATTACCAAGTACCAACCTGAAATATGAGTCACTTCATCATCGTTCATCAGGTTGTCAGTATTCTCATCAAGATTCTTCAGCGCCACACCCAGGCCGGCACCCTCAGGCTCTGCAGCAGTTTTCTGGCGCTTGGACCGTACTACAGACGCTGCTTCAAGGCGGTGCTTCTTTACACGAGGGTTGCTGACGCAAGCCTCGCCGCGCTTCCATCGCTTACCTTTCTGCCTTGTCATGCCTTCAGTAAAGTTTAGGGTTAATAAGAGGGAAATTCACGTTGAAAGAAGGAAATTGTACCCTTTATCACAATTAAGTTATTCAATCTGTGATTTGCATTTTACAAATTAACAAATAGTAACTCATGTAAATATCGTATAAAAATGTATAGAACATGAATATAAAGTATAATTATTAATTATTATTAAATAGTAATTAGAATTTTTTAAATCTTTGAATAAATTCGCCGTAAAATGTTACCTTTTTTAAAACAACCTTTGTTTTATGAAAATTAAAACGTTTTAAGAACATAATTTATAGATTAAAAAGCAATTTTTTAATATTATTTCTGACAGCAAAATTGTTGTTAGTTTTCGCATTTACGACCAAGGATAGTTATTAACCGTTTGAACATTTAAATGTGATATGGATAAAATAAATACTTTACGATTTAAATTGTTGAATAGCTTCATATTATAATAATTCCTTTAAGATTTAAGATATATTATGTATAATTATCGGGTCGCTGTAAGGCAAATAACGCCAAATCATATATAAAATCATTGCTTTACGTATCTTATTGTATCTACAAGATACGCAAAATTACTAAATAAACGGGCGATATTAAAAAATAAGATACACCACAGACACATTATATACAATCACAAGGATTTGTTTAGAATTTTTGTTTAGGATTTAATTATCATACTAAAATGTACCTTCATTAAATTAAATCAGGCTATGACTATAAATTAAGCTATTATTGAGCTATTATTAACGTAAATCTTAAAGTTCTGATTTAACAGCCTCTCCAGTGTCTCCACCCCCAAATATTTGTCTCAGCAGTTCATTAACTCTATCAAAACCAGGGTTACCCATCAGTAACACATCAAAATGCTCCCCGTACTGTTCCTTATCGTTATCATGATTACAAAAGGCCAGAGATAACATGTCCGTGTACTTGACACACGATGCCATCTTGAGATCAGATAACATGTCACCTAGCAACAACACGTGATCCCGAATAACTCTGGTAAAATACTCGTCCTCTCTGGCTACCTCAAGTTTACTGGACGCTGTGATATACGGCTTCACTGCTCCAACCATAATATCGTTATCATCGTATATCAGCTTGTTTGATATTATCGAGATATTGTTAAAGTAGCACCCTTCTCGTTCCAACATGGCGTCGATAACGTCCTTGATCCCCCCGGAGAAGATAAGCACAGGAATGTTGTGCTGGTGAGCAAGTTTAAGGAATTCAACAACTCCGGAACGGAGCCGACAACGTGATGCTTCCAGCATGTCCGGGATTAGGGATTTAGGAAACTTTGTTTCCACAAAACAGCCAATTGTTTTGGAGAACCATTGGTAGTCACTTTCTTTTCTCACTTCTTCAGGCAGTGAGAAGTCGAGGTGAATTGGAAGATGTTTCTTTTTTATTGCGTCTGCTTTTGCAAAAAACTGAAAATTAGCTGATAAAACAGATTGAAATATTTAAAAAGACATGAAAGGTGAAAGGGTAGGTAACGATTTAAATTGAGTCACATATTTAAGGTTCATATTCTGCAGTAAAGAATGGGCATGATGTTTAAAAACCTCTTCGCCGAAGCCAGGGTAAGTCCTGATGACACTAAAACAGGTTCCTTTGGGGTCCCATGTTGTCATAGTGTAATCGAAATCTGCCACAATCTAAACGTTAAATGGTGTGATATCTTGACCATTACAATTGACCGCCACGACAAAAAGATCAAGATGATTCTTATTTTAAACATTTGAGCTTCTTTAACTGGGTATGTTTTTATAAATACTAGAATTTATTTATCTATTTATAAAACTTGACGACGTGATCTTCGTTACGTCATCAGTTCCTTATTTGCCTGATTACCTGAAAGTTTTTGAGACCGGAATCAATGAACTTCTGAAGCTTTTGAGCGACAACAGGTTTATCCCTGTAAATTACAGTACTGTCCTCCGTTCCGGGTAACTCTGCCATCCTTGATAGGGATATCATAATGCTCACCAGCACCAACAACATTGAATTCATAGTTTGCATACCTAAAATTTACTTTTCGTCCCATTTAGGTACATAGTATATGTACATGAACATCGTAGTGTTTTTGAATGAACTTTATGAACGTTTATAATTTCTTCTTGCGGGTTAACTTTTGGAAAAGTAACCCTATGTTTTTAAGGGAGATGATGTAAAAGATTAATATATTTCTCTGTAACGGCACTAGGTACTAGGTAGTTTCATCAGAACCACTAAAATTAATTGTTTATACAATATATTTGTATACGGGTATATGGCCCCCAGAATATAGGTGGCCCCCAAAATATAGGTCATGTTAGTGGATACAGTTCTAACCAAGATAAGCGATACTAATGGGATCTGTTACTGCTAGGTTGGAGTAAAACATGTAACTAATGTTTCTGGATAAAAATTTTGGACCTACATGAGGTATTTTGGTATATTTGGTCATGACAGCGAAAGATTTAAACGATGTTGTCATTTTCTAGAGGGGTAAATATGGCGAAAAATTGTCATGACAAAAATCTGTCCAACACATGCCATTAAGACTACTGGTATGAGTATAAGTATTATTTTAAGCTATCTTTTCATCGAGACATCTGCAAACTGACAATTTGGAAAAAAGTTATGGTCACCACAATTTTACGGGCCCCCAGAATATAGGTCTATACGACCCCCAGAATATAGGTTGGTTAAAAACCCTGAACATGCCCAAAACCATGCTTTGGGATGCTCTACTTGTAGCTACTAGTCTCCTGAACCCACTTATTAAATTTTTTCAAAATTGGATAAAAATTGGCCGAGTTATGGGATAAAAACAAAAACCATATGCCCATATTTGGGCATACGCACCAAATTTGATCGATTTTGGTCCATAAATTGGTCAAATATCAATATTTTTGAATGAAACCAACTTTATATGGAAGGTAAGCATATATTACACATTCTCTATGATTATCAGCTCAATATCTACCTAACTGTGGATTCTGTGTTCAAATAATCGCAAAAAATGAACAAAATCGCCCATATCTCAAACTGACTTCGCTCAAAACAATAGAACTCAATAGGGTTTCAATATTTTCACATGAAATTTTCAGAATCAACGTAGAATTGTCTCATGACCTTAAGTTTTGGGACAGAATTTTGAGTTATGCCTTTAAAAAAATTTGGCGGCCAAAAATGTCTGATTTACAGTCATTGAGGTGCACATTGTATTGATACAGATAAAAACAGCCCCCCTCAATCATATCTAGGGACACTCCTTCAATCTTATTTAAGTATTTAGTTAAGATCCCTACTAAATTAGTGCATGAAAGCTTTTTAACTAGTAAAATTAAAGATTTTACTCATTACGGGTATATGGCCCCCAGAATATAGGTTTAAAAAAAAAATAGCGACCAAGATTCTGCATTTTCTCTGTCACCCTGAGCATTAAGGAATGTGGGGTAGTGATGAGAAACAGTTAAAGAACATATGCTGAAGAGATGGCATCATCAAAATGTATGAAGGTGGAGTATTTGAGGACGATTTTTGCATACCTATATTCTGGGGGCCGTAGTTTTTGATTTTTTGCTATTAAGTATACTCTAAACCATTTCAATTTAGTATCTGGAGCCATTGGCATCATCAATACAGTCTCAGCAACATATTCTGACTGCATATAACTGTCTGTGACAATTTTAGAACAACTTAGGAACAGATGTTTGGACCTATATTCTGGGGGCCCTGTTAAAAAATGGTATTTTTACAGGTAAAAAAAAAGTACACTTAAAAACCTAATAATTATTTTCAACTACCCAAGAAACATTTAAAGGGTTATTATGTACATATTTACAGCCCTAAACATGCTTAGAAGTAGTTTTAACACCTGTTTCTAAGTGCTCAAAAAACGACCTATATTCTGGGGGTCATATACCCGTAATATATTTGTATATATTATATATATTATATTGTTTGGTTGAAAGCATTACATACTCATGTACTTTCAACACTACTATATTGTTATTATACCAAATAATATTAGTGATTCTGATGAAGCTGTCGTCACAGAGAAATCCATTCATTTAGATAATTCCTTCCAATTAAAACGACGTGTAACTTGTCCAACTGCTAAGCTGAAAAAAGATATAATATCTTAATAAACCTTCAAATCAAATCCCTGCTATAATAGACAGTCGCATAATAAACAGTTCAACTTAGTAAGTTAGTAATGTTTGTTCGCAAGGTCATTCTAATTAATAAGACTTACATTTTAAAACCGTTATTTTTGAAGCGTGTGATTTCATTTACCTTCTATTTTAAAAATGTGTGATTATTAACATTCAGTTATACTCGTGAATTGAAATAGTAACAGCAATTTAAATAATTCGTATAATTATCATTAAAAATTGAACATAATGACGAAAAAAATACATAAAATAATTTATAGAAACTTAGGATAAAAATAATTACAGATAAACAGATAATATGTTGAAAGTCAACAAACGCAACTGCTTTATACCATAACTCTGATATTATATCAGGTTATAAAAAGCGAGCCGAATTGCCATTTCAACTGAATCTTAGTTCCACAAAGTATCGTTAATTACTCTCAAGACTTTAACATGTAATTAACAAATTATCGTTAATTACACTCAAGACTTTTCTACGAGTTGGTTCTCCTTGTTTCCCTCCTTGTACTTCTTGTGATGTTTATCGTACACCTCCTCTTTCTCTCCTCTGCAGAGTATACACTTGTACAGACTCCCTGATTCTCCTAACATCGTGTAGTGCTCGTCATCTATATTATCACAACCTGTACATTTTCTATATTATCACAACCTGTACATTTTCTATATTATCACAACCTGTACATTTTATATATTATCACAACCTGTACATTTTCTATATTATCACAACCTGCACATTTTGGTAATCAGCTGTGTCATCTATATTATCACAACCTGTACATTTTATATATTATCACAACCTGCACATCTTCTATATTATCACAACCTGCACATTTTGGTAATCAGCTGTTCGAGTGATCGGTTGAGACTTGAGATGTTGGGATTTAGAACAAATTCGAGTTGTGTGAGGCAATTAAAGTTAGGAGATTATTATGCACAGTATATTATTTAAGAATCTTCAAAAGTAAGCTCGATTCAATAATTCATTTGTTATTGCTCACGAGATATACCTGTGTGAATCCAGCGATCACAGAAATCACAACAAACCATCGGATCGTCAACAGCATCATAGTCAAACACCTTCAGGCATACTGGACAGAACCAACCTTTGTCGAAATATCTGCAGAAAGATTAGAATTATAAACATTACTTATTTATCTACTTCATTTACCTTAATTTAAAACAATTGAAGATCATTTTAAGTTACTGTTTAAAGACCAAGTTCAAGAATGCAAAGTTAACCTAACCAAATAACATAAAACAATCTTACATAGAGCAAGGATAGCACATCGTCTGTAAGAACTTCAAGTGATCATTGTGCTGGAACCGCCAGTTGCCGTCTCCAGGAGTGTTGGTATTGCAGCATGCACACATCACACACAGACGACACTCCCACCTCCCACGTGGCAAGGCGCTCATGTTTACACAATACGTGTGGTAACCTCTGTCACAAATGTCACAAAACATCAGGCTTTCTTCTCCTGACAAATGCATTCAATTGTTACAGTGAGGATAAGATTAAGATTAAAATATCAGGGATCAATCATCAAATGATAATTAGTTTTGGCGAAATTTATTGCTACTCATATTGTACAAAAGTATTTGGCTGAACTTTATAAAAATAAAAATAAATTTAAAGATAAAAATAACGCACCATCAGCTGAGTCGCAGACAGAGCAAGTTTTACAACTGGAGCAGTCCCACGCATACCTAGTAACCGTCTTCATCATAGTCTTACTGATGCTCATACACTTAGTATGATAGTAATACCTGCACTTGTTACACTTGATAACGTTCTCAGACTTGCCCAAGTCGTTGCTGCACTGGCCACATTTCACGGTTATGTTTTTAGGCACTGAAGTAACAGTCTCAGGTGCTTTCTCCACCGGTGCCTTGCTACACACGAGAGTGGTGTTGAGAGGTAAAGTGTACATCTTCTCTGAAGTGTACTCTGGTACGCTGTCCGTGTACTGTCCAGGTAGCACAGCCACAGGGTATCTGCCACGGCGCGTGTAGCTGCGCGGCGCAATGTGCTGGGTGTTGCGCGGCACGTATAACATCTGCGTGCTGGAACAAGTGTAGGACGATTTGCTTTCACGATTAGCTTTGAGTCGCTTGTTGAAAGACTGTGCGTCATCTACCAAGATATCTCTCAGACAATTATCTACTTTCTCTGTTTGGTCTTCCTCATCAGCATCGTCAGCATCTCTCATCACTGACTGTACTTTTCTCCCCAGCTCCCTTTTCCTCAGGACAGATAACAATATCTTGTATTTTGCAGGGTAGTCCTCCTTCATTACATCCAACACATCCTCTGTCAACAAGCCTATGAAGGAGAAGGCGGAGTTAGCCTCGTTTAGTATTCCCATGTCAAACAGGTGGTTCCTCTCTTCTGCTCCTATTGGGTGTCTGTGTATGTCTGGATACCTGTGTTAGTTAATTAAATTACTTGATTACTTAGTTAATTATACGTTATATCTACTTACTATGTTATGGCGAAGAGGAGCCTACATTTTCTTGAAGAGAATTATTTCTAATTGAAAGAAAATTTACGTCACAAAAAATTCACAGCGATTGACTGACACTTTCAACCGGCCTCTTCTAGGTGGGGCAAGTCTAAAACAATTGCACTGGGACTAGAGGATAGATAGCCCGGGTAATCTAGGTACATACCTACGATGGAAGTTTCTAGCTTGAAGGTAATCTTTGACTTGCTCCTGTAGAAGATACCAATCTCCCGTGTCAGGAGGGTATTGCCACTCAACTAGACTGTCCGCCTGCATAGTTGAACTCAACTGTACGTAGTAGGGCACGTAGTCCTGGGCTCGTGTTGGAGCGGAGTCAGGTTTTGTAGGAGCGGGATCCATCCCACTTCCTGAACAGTCGCTGAAATGGTGGATAACGGTATCTGTTCTTTGAAGATAGTCCAGTTATCTTTCGAAGAGGTGTTGCAATTTGAGTACTCCCAGAAAGATTGAAAATATAGTGCGATACGAACATAAATTGCGGTAAGATATATAATTCAAACTGACCAATGAAACTTTTAGTCGGATTGCTCGTTGTTTCAATCTGTTACCGGTTACGAATCTAAAGGTTTAATCAATCTAATTTGGGCAGCCTTTTGAAACATTGCAAGTTAACTGTTCTAATTAATGGCTGCATATTAATGGCTAAATGATAATTATTGATATACCTGTCATAAGTGAAAGGAGTGGAGGATCTGGAGTCGTTGCGTCCCGATCCTAACTTTAGAATCTCATCTTGAAACAAAGTGCTCATCCTAAATATAAGGTTCATTGTGAATTCATGGCGACACATTATCGTGAAACAGTCATGAAGTTTTTTATGTCAAGCATTGAGTTTGGGTTGTAGTGATCATTAAAATAATATGACGAAAGCAACATAAGTAAGCCATATATCAAGCTCAACCTCTCAACGATAAGAATAGAGACATGTTGCGAAAGAATACAAATATATACACCTGCAAGATACTGGCAAGTCGTCATAATGATGAAAGAAAAAATATAAAACAAGAGAAATACCAGAGGGCATCATGACAATCCCTTCATACTTTATAATTTGTACAGTTCAGTTCAAAATCAAAGATATCCATTTTGTGTGATTTGAATGATCCTAAAACTTCCTAAAAATTATACAGTCAGGAGCTTCAAGTAACAGCTCACCCTACTGTAAAGAATTAAAGCCGATATAGAACAGAAATTAAAAACAGAAATAAAAATCGGTTGATAATCTAGAGTCTGAGGTCCTAATATAGTCCTCCTAAGTCCTGAGGTCCTAATATAGTCCTCCTGATATAGTCCGTAAAGTCTGTGAACTTTGTAGTCACTTTCGGATTACAGATCGCTTGTATAGGATTTTTGCATGCCAAGCAGAGATGGGAAAAATCGCCTTTGATCCTGGCTACCCCGTTGCGCCTGTAACATTATATTTACCTACAAAAATACTTAACCCTAAGGGTTTTCTGCACGGTGTCGGGCCAGGCCCACTGAATGGCCCACAGGGCCGGACAAGCCCACTGAATACTCCCATGTCTTGTCTGAGAGGCAGAGTTATTGTCTGTGTGAACCAACATGGCCTTCCATATACATAGCATCCTCCTGAAGTGTGGGCCTAGGTGCCCCAGGACCAGCCGTGCCCGGTCTACTGTAGCTAATATAAGGGTCGTTAGCCGGGAAACTGTGTGAAGGACGATCACTAGGAATCTGGAGGAGACCTCCTCTCAGAGGAGATCTGTCCGGGCCTGGTGCTGACCTTGTCATTGACGACATCATTGCCCCGTATCCCTAAGGAAAAGAAGATAATCATGTCAATTCATGTTCACCAGGTTATTAAAAATACTGCGATTTAATTTCAGTACATATGATGACATCATCATAACGCGAATGATTTCATCTTATAAAATTTTAGTTTCAGCCGTATTATAATAGGCCAAACAACGTGGAGCTGTTACTTGAATGTCAGAAAGTCGAGCCCCCCTCATTATTGCATCCCTCATCTTATCCATTTTATCTATTATCTCTTGCTCTGCTCGTCGCAGACTGAACCTCTCCAGTACATTAATAGCTTTCATCGCCTCTCGCTTATCTAGCTGCTCCGTCGACATCTGTGGTTTAACTCTAGGTGAGACCTGGTTTACGTAGCTATGATGTGATCTTTCGAGCTGTTATAGAATAAACCCGGTATAGAGAGGTTCACATGATCCCAATCCCCAGTATCTGGAACCTCTCAAATAACCTGCTAAGCGTCTCTAAATATGCCCCAGTGGCCATTTCTCACTAGGGCCTTATATATGCATGTATTGTGTCGTACTTTCATGGAATACAGCTCGAGGTGTACTAAAATCAAGGTAATTGTTAAAGTTATTGGGAAAACAAAAGGTCCATTATATTGAGGTACCCGGTATAGATAATGTTTCCAAACGTAAACAATGCTTTGCCATTGAGACCGAGGACCAGAGATGATAAATAATTGCTAACCTCATGACTCCTGCCACTGTAAGGATCGCATCTGTGGTCAGGTGGTCCAGGCTTGTATCTCTTAGAAGGAGGAAAGGGTTGCAAGCCGTGAAACTTGCCGACCGTATTGTAATCACGAGGAGGGGGAGGCCTCTCAGAGCTGTCGGAGTTGTTTCTAGGCTTCCTGCCTGGTTCATGTAGTCCTCTTCTGGTGTCTTTGTTTTTAGCCTTCGAGTGGGATATACTGAAACAGATCACATTTACTAATTTAAACTATTACATATTTTGACCGTGCGGCAAGCTTGAAATCAGGAAAAAAAATCATAAATAACATAATATAATATATGATTAATGATATATAATATATAATATATCATATAAGCAAATTCAAGAGATCCGCGTTCGTATATTAATTAATCTAACCTAAGATATTTCACCTCAAATGTTTTTCCAGCCCAAAGAATCTGCCCCTCAATCGTTTAGCTAGAGGCGTCTCTTTGTCTGCCTCTATCAGTTCTACCTTGTGACACAAGAACAAAAGTTTGTCTTTCTCACGTGATTTCGGTGTTCTTTCTGTTGCAATCTCAAACCATTCCCGGTAATGCTTTTTCTAAGGAAATTTTAGAATATCTTAAAATTAAGTACGAGAATCAGTCGAGAAATCCGTACAGACAAATTATACGTCATTCATTGACTGTTAAGGGTTAATCGAAGACCTCAAAAAGTGCAATAATAGAATAATCTAAGTTTAAATTGCAGCAGCATAATATTAAGGAAATACCCTTCCAAATTTCAAAAAACCAACTAAGTAGAAGCGACGATGCTTGACACTGGTGAGATGAGCTAATCTATCCAGAAAACCAAACTCTGCCTCGCAGGTTCCGCATTTGAATTTCGCACCCTTGCTCGGGTCGTTGTTCTTGGCCTCGATAAAATTCAGACCAACAATTGGGATCCCCGTAGTGTTAAAGGGTTTGCCGTATCCGTATGTCGAGGTGGCTTTGTGACAGTCTATCTCATGGTGTTCAATAGGGCCAGATATCTCACCTACAAATAGAGCACTATGACTAGTCAAAACTGTGTTTTGAGCGAATAATTTCACCCTTTGGCCCTATAGATGTGCTAGGTCCATATCACCATGGTTTCAACGATCCCATTGATTGAGAGACGGAGAAACAAATAGTGAAAATTACAAATAATTTTAAGGAGAGAATATATTATTCACCAGGACTAATAGCGCCGAGAGGTTTATCGTAATCTCCTGTTACTCCGATAGAATTGAGAGTGTGGGAACATTTCTGATGTTTGATAGAAATATGGTGAGCTTGCCAGTTATGAGAGTTCTGTATGAGTTGTGAGCAGGCTGGGCACATTGCCAGCCCAGGCACCATCACCTTCACTCTCCTCTCTACATGGTAAAGGTGCTCCTCATCTTCCTTGTGGTGGCTCCTTGCTTCCTGATAAGAAACAGTTGGTGAGATAACTAGTTATAGTCAGGGGAGAAATGATAACCGTTAAAGATTGAATTAAGACTGTGAGTTCAGAGTTGTGCGCTATTAAATTTTAACACCGTTTAAATGAATCTAGCGAGTTTAAGTTTAATAATTTCAACGAAATCGGTTCGTTACATCGTCATCAAGAACAGAATTATAGTGACAAAGTGGAGCGTACCTCAAGATCATGTAGTCCAACGTTACAGCTGCCACAAAAATAAGGTGCTTCTAGCTCCTTCTCCAGCTCGGCCGATGTAAAGGTCTTCTTTGTATGAGGCATTGCTACTTGGACAAAACGAGCATTTATTTATGAGCGAATGGGTTAGGGTTAGAGCGAATGCCAGTCGAATTTAAAATGAATTTATAAGAGTTCTGATTTATTAAATGAAACAAGAAATGATTTAGTAATTTCAAGAGGCGTGAAATCCACTATGTTATCAATCAACTATTACAATAACACTTACTATAAAAGTTACTTTCGCTACCTAATAGAATTAAAACTATCGTCACAATATCATAGTATTTTTCTAGCTCCATATTTATTTATTCATAATGATTCATGTCTTCTAACGAGATTGTGATCATAATGGAATATTTGATGGAATAAAATTACAAGTTGGTGCCAGGAAGTCAGTATAAAGGAGATTGGCTCGATTCAGAATGCGAAAAGAATGCTTCTAACAAGCAAAATTCGTAAACTATTAAAATTAAGAGCCCAGTTTCAAACGATTGTATATTCCAAAGAATAAGAATACATAAAAAGTGAATTTCGCTCAACCTGCTTGTTTACAAGTCTTCCAATCGCACAATGCGAGGGTTTTTATGTCTATCCAATGTCGGAGCAATTCATCAATTAATGTGTCACTGCTACTCAGTATGGATGTCTTGGACCTCGCCCTCGAGCAACGCCCTGAAGAGAAAAACAACTTTAAGTTGGGTCGGTAACGTCAGTGTTTTTCAAAAAACAATGAAGGAGTTTCGTTGCGTCAGAAGATATTACGATTTACAGATGTGTTATTGATTATATCATAAAGAGTCTGACCTATTCTTAGTCTGACAAAAACAGCCGTTATATTGCATGTCTACCACCTATGAAAATATAACCCTTGAAGGATGAGGGGACCTTAGAATTTACTTCCAAATATTCGCGTTTAAGTCCTGTGAAAGTGTGTAGAATCAAAAAATACGCCGGACTGTGAAATCGATAATTCGTGCAATATCACGCCGCGCTCCTATTGGCTGATAGCAATTTTGGGCTGTGACGTCACTTATGTGTTAAGACCAACGTGCGCGCACACCCTTCGCTCGTGTCAACATTCTGTTCTGTTCTGTTTTAATTACGTCGTGTTACCTTTGGCGTTTGCGAGAGCGGTATCTTTGGTTGCACTGAATTAGTCTAAGTTTGAAGTTACGAATAATTCTCATTAATAATTAAATGTAACTCAGAAAGGCTTTTTTCTAGTTCTAGTTGTAGTAGGTATTTCTATTTATAAATAGCTAAGATAAGTAGCATTCGCTAGCTAAACCACAAACTGCTATTTTGTTTTGACTTGTTTGAAACCCGATACGGGTATATGGCCCCCAGAATATAGGTCGTTTTTTGAGCACTTAGAAACAGGTGTTAAAACTACTTCTAAGCATGTTTAGGGCTGTAAATATGTACATAATAACCCTTTAAATGTTTCTTGGGTAGTTGAAAATAATTATTAGGTTTTTAAGTGTACTTTTTTTTCACCTGTAAAAATACCATTTTTTAACAGGGCCCCCAGAATATAGGTCCAAACATCTGTTCCTAAGTTGTTCTAAAATTGTCACAGACAGTTATATGCAGTCAGAATATGTTGCTGAGACTGTATTGATGATGCCAATGGCTCCAGATACTAAATTGAAATGGTTTAGAGTATACTTAATAGCAAAAAATCAAAAACTACGGCCCCCAGAATATAGGTATGCAAAAATCGTCCTCAAATACTCCACCTTCATACATTTTGATGATGCCATCTCTTCAGCATATGTTCTTTAACTGTTTCTCATCACTACCCCACATTCCTTAATGCTCAGGGTGACAGAGAAAATGCAGAATCTTGGTCGCTATTTTTTTTTTAAAACCTATATTCTGGGGGCCATATACCCGTAATGAGTAAAATCTTTAATTTTACTAGTTAAAAAGCTTTCATGCACTCATTTAGTAGGGATCTTAACTAAATACTTAAATAAGATTGAAGGAGTGTCCCTAGATATGATTGAGGGGGGCTGTTTTTATCTGTATCAATACAATGTGCACCTCAATGACTGTAAATCCCATATCCAAAAAATTTTTAATTTCCTACATTCTCAATATTTTCGTTTTCTGTGGCCCGCTCGCTTCGCTCGCATAAAAAGTCTTTGTATTCGCGAGGTTCAAAGATTTTTCATGGCGGATTCCAGATTCTCAATTTTACTTTTTTAGGGCCCGGAATGCTTTTTAATAGATGATCCTAGGTTACTTTTGGGGGCGAAGCCCCCGAAAATTTTGGAAATTTAAACTAGATTTGGCCTCCTGGAACGAATCTGACAATGGAGAACGATTTTAGCATATTATTTTCTGATTTCAATTTTTATTGGGATAAATTGTCTGGATTCTAGAATCCCTAAACGCTTGGCTTAACTAAAGCACGAAATAGGAGACAGCATGAATAGAAGTATCAAGAGTTTATAATTTTGGCAAAAATGTTTTCTCATCTACTACCATCACTTTCTGCTTTCAAGCTATAAACTAATACAGGGTTAAGGGAATTTGGAGAAGGAAGCAAGTATGAGACCAAATATTCAAGAAACAAGGAATTTAAATTTTCCAAAAATATAATAATGACTATTAGTATTTACTTTTTAAATAAGATAGGAAACGCAACAAAGAATGCTTATGCATTATGCATGTTTAGACGTATTACATCAACTCATAATACTATATAATGTTCTTTGAACTCCTGACATAAAGTTATTACAATTGCATTGATGACCGTTCACAACATTACATGATTGATAATGCTATTATCAAAACTCAAAACTGGAATGGTAGTCTATATTGGGATTTGCAGAAGTTTTCTATAGCCGCCCCCATCCCCCCATGGGTGGTTTTTAGAATATTATGATGTGTATATGCTACTGCTTGCCAATACAGATATCGGGTGACACTGTAGACATATCCGGTTTCATAGACTAGATAAGTAGATAGTAAAATGTTAATAAATTAATAATGACAACTATTTATGTAGTGTACGTGAAAATGCCCCAATAATTAGCATCTGGTTAGTGGTTACTTGATGCACAGATTTTGTAGCTAATAGCAACAAACTTCGGTCTGTGAAACGAAATTTGATAGACTGGATCAGTGGATCCCTGACTGAGGACATTTAAATAACGGTCCAGCAACTTTTAGTCTGCTCTTTCACTTAAATTCCTACTGAAATATTATCGAAAATTCTCAGAGTTGGCTCTCGAATTTCCTACTTTTTGTCAAAGATTTCCTACTTTTAAAAATTTCCTACATTCTTAGAATGCGAGAATGCGGGTTTTTGGATATGGGCTGTAAATCAGACATTTTTGGCCGCCAAATTTTTTTAAAGGCCTAACTCAAAATTCTGTCCCAAAACTTAAGGTCATGAGACAATTCTACGTTGATTCTGAAAATTTCATGTGAAAATATTGAAACCCTATTGAGTTCTATTGTTTTGAGCGAAGTCAGTTTGAGATATGGGCGATTTTGTTCATTTTTTGCGATTATTTGAACACAGAATCCACAGTTAGGTAGATATTGAGCTGATAATCATAGAGAATGTGTAATATATGCTTACCTTCCATATAAAGTTGGTTTCATTCAAAAATATTGATATTTGACCAATTTATGGACCAAAATCGATCAAATTTGGTGCGTATGCCCAAATATGGGCATATGGTTTTTGTTTTTATCCCATAACTCGGCTAATTTTTATCCAATTTTGATAAAACTTGATATGTGGGTTCAGGAGACTAGTAGCTACAAGTAGAGCATCCCAAAGCATGGTTTTGGGCATGTTCAGGGTTTTTGACCAACCTATATTCTGGGGGTCGTATAGACCTATATTCTGGGGGCCCGTAAAATTGTGGTGGCCATAACTTTTTTCCAAATTGTCAGTTTGCAGATGTCTCGATGAAAAGATAGCTTAAAATAATACTTATACTCATACCAGTAGTCTTAATGGCATGTGTTGGACAGATTTTTGTCATGACAATTTTTCGCCATATTTACCCCTCTAGAAAATGACAACATCGTTTAAATCTTTCGCTGTCATGACCAAATATACCAAAATACCTCATGTAGGTCCAAAATTTTTATCCAGAAACATTAGTTACATGTTTTACTCCAACATAGCAGTAACAGATCCCATTAGTATCGCTTATCTTGGTTAGAACTGTATCCACTAACATGACCTATATTTTGGGGGCCACCTATATTCTGGGGGCCATATACCCGTATGGACACAATCTAAAAATCGATTGAATGTATGATGTAGTAGAAGACATTTTACTAGCTGGCCCTTGGCGCCTCTAGTCCTATCTGAGTGCGCACGTGCGGTTTGACACTGAGCGTGTACCGGCCTTTAGTTGTACACTCATTTATAATTTACCGTTTTAGTTTGCTGTGACTTGAGTGTAAAGCGTAACGAATGTGGATGTGTTCGTCTGCTATGCTTGGTATAATATTGTTTGGTGTAATAGTTGCAAATCTTGCTTACGTTATAAGTAGTGTCACATAGTGAGTTAGAACTTAAAAGCTTGGTGCTTGTCCAACTGGAATGAAGACATGCATTTCATACCTACCCGATCCATTTTTATTAGGACCGTGTTGTGTTGATATGAGATGTTGATATATCAACTGTGATACAATACAGGGAGTTGCTAGGTGTTACGTCGGGAGCTATAAATATACATAATTTACATGCCTTTCTGTGTGACTTCAATCTTATTTCAGGTGTATCTCGGCTCATGGTTATCGTAGGGTAATAATTCTTTTTTCAACCGGTCATAAAAAGTCTCCTCTCCATTGGTTATAGGCTCATTAGTATCGTAAATTGTTAATGTATTCTTAATTAGTAATTTAGTCGGCCCGCACGCTCATTTTACCTGTATTTCTATATGCGCGGATCAGAGCAACTCACATAATTGACGTCACAGGTTCAAATTGTTTTGGCTGGATATCTCGGCGCGCGAATGAAATACAACTTTGCGGATTTCACTAAAGTGGTTTTTACGATTAATGTAATAAAAGGATTTGCACGAGAAAAAAACTTTTTCTAAGGTCCCCTCATCCTTTAAACAAGACGTTTATGGCACTTACAGAAAGTACCTGTATTGCTCTAATCTTACCCTATGCGTTGGAGGACGTCTGGAACCTCTTAATGGAGGTGGTCCTGGAAGAGGTCGCGTTCCTCTGAAGGGTGGAGGTCGCGTTCCTCTGAAGTGTGGAGGTCCTGATCCACTCCCTCGACCTCTCGGCGGAGGAAAGCCAACCCCTCGACCTCTTCCACGACCTCTATATCCTTGATGATCAGGCTGCTCTTCATAGTACTCTTCGTGGCTCCACTGAAATTTAACAAATAGTTACTCTGCGCGGCGTGTATAGGTTGAAACTTCGCTACTACATCGATTTTTGGTAGTTTAAAATGTTATTAAAGTTAATCAAACCTGTGCCTCATGAGGTCTATGTCTTTTATTATGATGAATCGCTTCGTGACCATAGTCATAACCGTAGTCATAGCCCTCTTCATGACCGAATCCGTAGTCTTCAGTGTAGTAGGGGTCAATTGTACCATGATCATATCCGTAACCATGCACTTCAGTTTTGATGGGAGCATGATGGGCAGGTTCATATTCTTCATGTCCCTCATATCCCTCATATCCTTCATATCCTTCATAGCCACTTTCTGCGGCATAGAGTCCCTCTCCAGGATTGTAGAATACCTCTTCATAATATTTCTCTTCCTGATAGCCACTTTGGTATACAGTTTCCCAATGATATGCAGCAAAATGAGGTCCTTCTAGGGGAGAATCATGGGTAAGGTGAAGTCCCCTACCAGAACCTCCTAAACCACCCCATTGGCTTTCTCTTGGACCACCCCTTGGACCACCCTTAGGATCACCTCTGGGACCACCTCTAGGATCACCTCTGGAACTAACCCTTGGACCACCCCTAGGATCACCTCTGGGACCACCTCTAGGATCAACTCTGGAACTACCCCTTGGTCCACCACTAAGACCACCTCTGGGACCGCCTCTGGGATCACCTCTGGGACCACCTCGGGTACCACTTCTTGGATCACCTCTGGAACCACCCCTTGGTCCACCGCCTAGGATCACCATTTTTCCTATCACGGCCTTCCGAAATCAATGAGTGCATTAAATTGACACACGGCCGTTTTTTGGAATCTACATCAGTCTTGTTGCTAGTTTTAGGTTTCTCCTTTGAAATAGTTTGATCCGCTTTTTTTGCTGACTTTTCACCCGTTGTTTCGGAAACGCTGGCCTGAGAAAAATTATCTTTTGAATCAGATTTTCCTTCACAGTCTATTGATTGATTCTCTGAGTTTCTCATCCTGACAAACTGAAACTGTTCTTGGTCGCGTTGCTGTTGCCATGCATTACCGTTATCGCCACTTTTAACACCAATCATCCCTGACCCCAGAACGTATTTAGGAATGTCTTTTTCACCTTCTTTAACGAAAAAAACTTCGCCATAATTCGGTCTTGGGTAGTTACCTCTATCGTTACGGTCCCTTCCAATACTGAAATTATTGATGTTAAATATCAAATTCAAATATTATTATAATTATATGGAACTGGAAGCTAGATAACAGATTAACCCCAGCAATTAATAATAGTTAATAGTTAATAGTGCCCCTCCTCATTTAACCCTCAATTAAGTTTCCTATCATTTGGTTGAGTCGACCGGGTATCAGTCTTAGAAGCGAAGGAGAATCTTACTTGTGAGCCTTTCTTTGGGTGGCCTGAATGCAAAATCTTTCCCTAAGAGCTTTTGCAGTCGGGGACTCAGTCTCTTTTTCTATTACTTCAATCTTGTGAGCAAAGTATATGAGTTTGAACTTGGTCTGGATGACAAACTCTGGAGGGATTTTCAACACCATGCTATACCAACCAGGGTAATTATTTCTCTGAGAAAAGATCTTAGTCAATATGAGTAGTGTCGCAATCTATTAAAATCGGCAACAAATATAGTTCTTTGCCTGGTTTCAAAAAAAGGAAGTTTATTTCATATTTTAACACTAACCAAATAATTGATCCAGTGTTCATTACTACCAAGATGATTGCCTCTGAGCTCGAAAGTGAAAGTATCCATGCACGTGCGGCAAGTGAATTTCTCTACGAGGTTCACATGTGTAGGAGCTTTTCCTTTTACCAGGGGGGTTATGCTGTCAAGTCCGATTATTGGTATTCCAGCTCCCATCTTGCCTCCGTGACCATAGCCATACGAAGTTGCTAGCCGAATGTTTATTTCAGAGGGTGGAATGGGGAGGCCAACTTGTCCTGAAGGGGTGCTGTTATGGGAAAAATACAAGATTATGGGACAAATACAAGGCTATGGGACAAATACAGGGTTTTTATTATATTCAAATATCAACTCATTATTGAACGGTTGTTGAAGTTCAATGCTAAATGCTATCAGATAAGTACGTTTAACGTAGTCACAGTATATAATTAGTATTATCTCAGTAAAGGGATAATTGTAAAAAGGTTACTCCTGATCTTATACCTCACATTGCGCACTCTTGAGAGACCGGTGAGATTGTGCGCTATTACCTGGGCTAATGCAACCGAGAGGTTCATCATACTCCCCCTCAATACCACACCCATTTAGTGATTGTTTTACACGCTGATGTTTGTCTGTAAGCACGTGACTGTCCCATCCGTATTGAGTTTGAACTAGACACGTACATGCCTGAAATTATGCAAATTAAAACTCCATTACTATAATATTATATATATTTGATATCTAACTTTGAATATGGGAAAGTTGACAGACATCTTAGCTTTGATCACTGAAGATTGGGGGGCCGAAAAGACTATAAGAATGTAAGGTCGGAGGAATTGGATGAGAATAAAACTGACCGCACAAATGGCAAGTCCAGGAACCAAAGTGCCAATTTTCCTTGTGATATGATAATTGTGTTCTTCTGTTTCGTTGTGTAGTTCGTACTCCTAAACAAATGAAATGTTTTGGAACAATTTTTTTATCCTATCTTAATTTATTTGACAAAATCTATGAAGTTCTGTCTTTTTTTCCAAATGATAATGCTAAAACTGGGAAATTAAGAGAATTTATTACCGTCGGGGATTTTATTACGAATATAATATACCCTCTAATAAAACTTAATCTATAGCTATTGTGTTTAGATAGGAAACCTAGCTCAAAACTGGCCACTAACCTGCTGGTTGTCGAATCCAATATGGCATGTTCCACATAAAAACATCTTAGTCATTTGTATTTCCAACTCACGGATCTCAGCCCGCTTTCTCTCCGCAGTTTTACCATGATTCTTATTCTGGGGCATGTCTAACGGGGGTTGGAGTGAGTTGGTAAAATTGTTTCCATGACAGGTTTACCAAGATATGTCAGAAATTAAACTCTTAAATTGAAACCGTAACCTTATAATGAGCTATAATCTACTTATATCAGAGCTTCAGAGGTATGATATTCTTTTGACGTCATAAGATTTCTTGGTTTTAAAGGATAAAGTAAAAAAAGGCCGAAATTGAAATTTTGGTGTTTTAGTTTGACTTGGAGCTAATCAAAATTCAGTTAGTGGTTGATCAGTAAACCAATCATTATAGAAATTCAGATCTATTATATTTATATGTCAAACAAATAAAGTAGCTTAAATAGTCCATTGGCGTCCCCTTTTTAAATATTGACGTAGTAATTACGTCAATTTGTTCTAAGAATCGATTCTGAAGAGGGGAGAACACGTCATGTAAATTTACATATTTCTGATATATTGATAATTTTTTCGATCATAGCAACTTGATATGATGTGCCCCAAATAGAAAAACCGTGAACATTTTTAACATTATTCAATTTTCCATAATATTCTAACATTTAACCTAAGAAGAACTTGAGAGTTCGATTGTCACTATTATAGTGCACCGATTTAGAAGTGGCGGTTTCTTACTTTTAGTCAATAAGTCCAGCCAATTAAAACACACGTCATAATAATCAATCAAACCATTGCCGGACCATCTTTAATCGATTCTACGGTTTAAAATACTTTTTAATTTAAAGTTTGTTCCTAGCGTTTCGAGTGGAAATACCGTGAGGCCCTCTATTTTCATTATCAGAGATCTGAACCGCTAATTCTAGATCGTTCCACTATAGGGTAGTTTACCGACTGAATATTTTAAAACATATTTTAAAAGAATAAAGTGTACTTTAAAAATGAAATTAAATACTAATAACAGTTTATGTACTCCAGGGGTAACAAAAGACCCCTTAAATTCATACAGATGATCTGAAGTATGAAGGTTTGGATCCAAATGTTGGTTCGATCTCTCCAAGGGATTTGTGGACCCCTCATGGGACCCCTCATTTGTGGACCCCTCATTTGAGACTGTGCCGAGTATCCTTGGACTAGGGATATAGAACCCCATTGTAGAAGGTGTATCCACCGTTCTGCTTGTTTCGTTTCAGGGTGGATACCCTGAATGGCTGAAAACCTGAGATATTTTGGGTGTAGCTTTGGGACACCTGTCATGCTGTACAGCTTAAATTGATATTATATCTGGTTGGTCAGCTCGCAGGCTAGAACCGGTAGCAGCAATTTATAGAGTTCATTATTTCAATCAGGATTATAAGTTTGATGTAACATTTTGCCTGGCAAGGCATTTTAGAGTAAAGTTTATAAAAATGCAGGTAGTACAACCCCTATTTACACTTAACCCTTGAGTTGGATCATTTCTCGATACGAGACTAGTGTCTAGGGAGGGCTATTATAAACAAACAAACATAAGAAATGCTGAATTTAAAAGGTCTTCAGTACATGCCTACATTACACGCAAACAAATGACTTTGTTATGTTGGAATACCTTGAAAAGATGAAACTTTAGTAATTCATTGGAGGACGCATTGGAGGACGCATACCACGACCGCGACTTCGCATACCCTGGCAACACAAGTTTAAATATCAAAGTAATATTAAAGATTAAAGTGCAGCAATTAAAGTGCTGAAATCAAAATGTAGCAATTAAATTAATTAGATTAAACTATTAGAGGTAGAGGTACGTACTACGTAATTTCAGTACAACAGTAACAATGAGCTTACCCGCACTGGTAAAGTATGACGAGGACCAAATGCACCCATTGGCGGTCTCATACGATGTCCCATGCCTCTTGCAGGCGGTCCACGGGAACCGAACATGTGACTTGATGGCCTAGGACCTTGTGGGCGACCCATTATAGGTCTAGGCGGGAACGAGCCAAGTCCCCTGGAACCTCTCGAACGAATCACTCGGCCTCGACTGCCTCTTAATGATTCCAGCGTGACGCCAGATTCAACTAGAACTGCATTTTTCATAGAGTCTATCTTAGATTTAATACTCTCTTTTGCTTGACTCATAGCAAAATTCTCAAGAACTTCTATCGCTTCCAGAGCTTTAGAGTAATCCTTTGATTCTGACTCCTGAGATAGTTGAGCATAATTTGGGATAATTTTGCGGATGAAAAACGAAGTTTAAGACCCACGGCCAACATGCGTAACGCGTATTGCTGTATTGACAATATTGATGCATAGCATAACTTTTACATTTCATGTGGCAAACCGTAAAAGAGGAGACACTACCAAAGTCCCCTAGTACTAACCTCATAAGGATCATAAGATTTGTCCCAGTGGTCATCAGTACCCACATCCAACTGATTTGTAGTCCCAGCTGCTGCATACGGGTCCTCTTTGTACTTCTTTGAACTAACATGGATACTATTGACAGGACGTTTCCCTCCTAGACTAGCACTCTGTTCCAGATCTCCGCAATATCCTCCACTAAACTCACTGTGCTCCTCCATGAAGGGGGCACTGTGAGACAACAGTGCTCTCCGGGGACCTGTCCCACGACCTCTGTACAGTAGAGTGGACCTGGGAAGGGTCGACATGGGGAGGTTGTGTCTTGGTCGTCCTCTAATGCCAGAAGAAGGTCCTCTCATCATCATGCCAGGAGGTCGACATCTAACCGGGCCACCTCTCATCATTACCCTGTGGCTACCTCTAGCTCTCATAGCTGGTCGGCCTCGCATTTCTCCCATCATTCCTCCTCTGTTCCCTTCTCTTATCCCTCGGCCTTCTCTGGGTCCGCCTCGGGTATATTGAGGACCACCACGGTAAGATTCAGGACCACCACGGTAAGATTCAGGACCACCACGGTAAGATTCAGGATTTTTAGACTGCAAAGCTACCTTTCGCTTGCTGAGAAAGGTTCATAAATTAATTGCATATTACATATATCATTATCTGATGCATGATGCGAATCAATTTCTCGATAACAAACTTGGATCTTTCACCAAATTCCGCATTTAAATTAGGTATTCAGATGATGAAACATTTAATTCAGTTTGAGTTTACTTACTTGCTCTCCTTTTTCTGCGTTACCTCGTTCACAAACTTGTGTCTCAACGTCTTAGCCGTTTCGGTTTCATCTTCTGATTCTAATCGTTCCACTTGGTATGCATACCACATGAGACGAAACAGTTTTCTGGTCTTCATATGACTGTCCATACTGTTGAAATCTTCAAACCACCTCTCATAATACTGTTCCTAAATTTACATGTTTAAACGTTTAAAACTGAGAGAAAAAGGGTATTAACTGAGCACATCAACTAAAAATCTTTCTGTACGTCTCAGGAGGTGACAACTGTTCAGGGGACAGAACCCCGCACAAACGCTATATATCTGACTTTTTAAAACTGATATACAAATAATGAATGTTCTAATTTATCATCATTTTATTTAGACGAACCAGATACTGAGCACGATGATCCATGCCAGTAAGATGTTTACTTCTGTGCTCGAAGGTGAAGTTCATATCACAAACACCACAATGGTATTTGGGCATTTCATCCTTGTCCAACACTCCCAGCTGGGTTACGTGATTCAGACCAATTAGTGGCACGTTTTTACCAAGTTTTCCACCGTGACCATACCCATGAGCAGCCGATATTTTCTGGTCTATTTCGATGGATTCAATAGGAAGTCCAAGTTGACCTGCGAGAGCCAATATTATAACGTACAACGATAAATATTTGAAAAGCTTACAAACTAACTATGCACTATGCAGCTAATCGATGGAATAAAATTTGCTATGACTCAAATCACAAAGAAACAGCAGTAATGCCGTTTCAAGACGATATAAAATTTGAAAAATAACTTTAAAATTCCGTACCTATTTCACCACAACCAAGAGGCCTGCCATACTCTCCATGAATGCCAATAGCATTGAGTGATTCAATGCACTTGGAATGTTTAAGGGACTGAGCGTGACTCTCCCAGCCTTTACCAGTTTGTATAAGACAAGAACATGCAGGGCAGAACCCGAGACCGGGCACCAGGGCCTCTATTCTCCGCGTTATGTGGTAGTTGTGTTCATCTTCGTTACAGTGCTCTTTGTATTCCTGGAAGATAATATTACTGTTGTAGCTGTGATGAAGGAGAAATATTTCACACCTGGATTCAGTAAATCCAGATTTATATTGTAGATGGATTGAAATTTCTAGGTTGAGAGAGCATTACTAGTGGTACTACAGTTTTGATTCTCAAACCTCTATGCTGTAAAACCCAAAGTTGCAACTCCCACAGTAAAAGCCCTTTGAAAGTTGGACCTCCAGCTCTTGTATTTCGATAGCTTTGTGTTCTGCTCTTTTTTCTGTGTTTCGTACCATTCTTCACTACTATAGGTAGTTACTTGTAACTATATGATAGAACATAGTACATTGTTCACAAACACATTCTTTTTTTCAAGGAAACCAGCACGGAAAATGTTCACTTTTTTACTTCAATTGACAAAGATTCAAACTGATGAGGCCATCACTCAAAGTTGAATGATTAAAGAAAGACGAATAATAGCATTAACATTGATTCCAATTTCCAAACTGCAAATAAAACTATAATTAGATAATGGATATCAAAATAGAAAAAGATATGGGACAAAATAACATTTAACAAATTAATTGTTGAAATAAATATCATTGATGTAAATTTAAGCAAACAAAAATACAAACATTGTCAAACATAATCGAGTACAAAATGACTGTAAAAGGTGTCTTCACACAAATAAATTAATAAACAAAACATATTTAAACCATTCATATTTAATAAGTATTAAAATCCTCTGCTCGACTTTTGGACCTCATCACAAGCTCTCAAGACTTCCTCACTGATGACATCGTCATCAAACATATCTTCTTCATCAGGGGTACTAGAGGGCACAGGAGGCCCGGTAACCACCATACGTTCAGACACTACCACAGAGGGTTTGGGAACTACCTTACTTGGCTGGTATGTACTCTTGAAGTTG